GACGAACGACGAAAAGAAAAACGAAATAGCTCTGAGATCCGCGACACACGATCTAGAAACATTTTATTTGCGATCGATAAATTCTTTCCCACATAACGCACAACTAATCTTGAAACAGATGCTACTCTCTCTTGATTTAGTGGCAACACGAGTATCCAGTATCATCGGAATGCTTCATATCGAGTGTCGATCCTCTCTTATCTTCGAACTTCCTGTCCAATTTCTGATTGTATCAATTGTATTAACCGGATATATTTACGCGCGAAACTTCTCCAAAGCGCTGGTACACAGAGATGATCGTCGTGGCGAGCGAGGACTAATCAATTTAGGTCGTGTGCCGCGGAAAAATTAAGGGCAGTAGCCGAAGACTCGTTGGCGCCGTATCCTACATTTCAGGCGCGAAAGAAAAGAGGGAGAGAGAGAGAGAGAGAGAGAGAAAGCTATCGATCCGGACAAACATTTTGATTAGCCGGGTCTCGTGAGATCAGTCGCGCGTCTACACTTGCCAACGATCGAGACGATCGAAAAAGTGAGTTGGCATTTTCGGTTGCAAAAGCCGAGTCTTCGTCGACTTGGTGTTTTCGTCGCGCGGCTATAAAGATAACTTTAGCAGCTGTCCTCGATTGCAACGTCGGATTTTTCGAGTTCTCGGCGTCGATATTGCTCGATCGACGTTCCCCGCTCGTCGAGCTTCGACGATCCTGCGTTAGAATTTCAATGAAAATCGACAGAGGTGAATTGCCGGCAATGAATGTCATCGCGAAAGTGAGGCCGGCTGCGCGCGTCGACACGAGGAAGCGAAATCCAACGAGAGCTCATTCGGCCAGAGGGGAAGACGATCGCTCGCGCATCGGCAATTGCGGCTCGGAGAGGCACGAATTGCTATCTCATCGCGCGCAGCACAGTAGTCGGGAGATACGAGCGCGACATCCAGATGTGCCGAGCTCCGGCTGACGCGCGATAACGCCACTACCAGCACATCGGCGACTTTTGCGCTTTTTCGGGGGAGGGGGAGGGGCGATAAGACCTTGCAGCGCGAAGAGCTTTTCTTTGCTCTCCGCTCTGCCAATCGACGTTGCGATTGAGAAACGGCGACGGACGAGCGGCAGCTCCGGGAAAGCAACGGGCACTGATCGCTGCTGTCGTTAAATATTTGCTCGCGACGCTGACACAGGTGAAGAGGAAACGATCATGCGCGCCCGACGTGCGTGCCGCCGAATGGAAGCGGCAAGGAAGAAACGCGCGCGTCCCTCCTTGCGCGGATAGCCTGAAAACGCGTTGCGCGTTTGCAAGGCACTCGGCACCCGCACGATCGGCCGTAGGCCCGCGTCGCCGGCACGAAATCGGGCCGCGGAGCGAGAAAAGGAAAGTACGAGAGGCACGGAGCTCGCCGATGCTCGTCGAATGCGTATCGCTCGGCTGGGCGCGGGCGCGCAAACGAGCGACGCGGCGTCTTGCGCAACGCGCGCACTCGCGAGACTGACACCTCGGCGTATCGCGCCGAAAACCGAAATCCAGCGGGCGACCAGCTGGCAAACGAAAAGTGTCGAGTGCGAGCACGAGCGAGCCGCCGATCTCTCTCTCTCTCTCTCTCTCTCACGCGCTCTCTCGCTCGCTCCGGGTGTCGTCGTCTCGCGCGCGCGCTCCGGGCGACGGGATGGGAGTAGCGCGGTGGTGGGGGCCGGCGGATCGCCACCCCGACGTATATAAGCTTTCCTCGGCGCTGGTTCTCGCTCTAGGTTGTTCCCGATCCGGGCAACTTTCCCAAGACTTGGCAAACCACACTCCGTAAGTCTCGCTCTTCTTTCTTTCTCTCATCTTCATCCGTCGCTCTCCATCCAGTGCTTCGACGCGGGGCCCGGCAACGGTCGCGCGCCGCCCGCTATATCGCTGCGCCAGCGCTTATCTCGCGCCCGCCTGAGCAAAAAGCCAGTCGCACACCGCGGCCGACGACGAGGCGACGTCGACACCACACGGTCCAGGTCGCGTGGCGTTCCGTTCGCAGTCTCTCTCTCTCTCGTTTGTCCCCTCCCCCGAACGAGCGGCGACATTGGCACGCCGCAGTTTTCCCGGCGTGCTGCTGCGCGCGCGAGTCCAAGATCCACACCTGTCGCGCGGCGGCGAACAATATCGGTGCTCTCGACGATCGCTCGCAGTATATAATTATCGCAGCAGGCATCATGGCGCGCGCGCTCGGCCCGTCGAGGAGAATACGGAAGAAGGCGAAAAGCCACGAGGCCACCCGGAGCCCGAAGTATCCAGTTGCAACCGGTTCAAGCGACTGGCTCTTCTGGCCGAGCTCTTGGCGCCTGCTAGCAGAGTTGAACGAGCTCCGCAATTGCCTCGATCGATTCTAACGGCCGAAGACGCGCTATCCCCGGAGGGGACTGCGCCTCTGCACGTGCTCGGCCACGTGTTACGTATTGCGGCCATTAAGATCCTCGGCACGGCCTTCCCGCTTCTACTGGTAGGCGTGCTCGCGTCCAAAAGTCGACGATGAAAAGTGATCGTGGCACGAAAGTGGAATTCCCCCGTGTGTGACCGGGCAAATTATTCGCGCAGCCGACCAACTGTCCAACTCGCGTACCGACGGCCGAAAAGGGGAGGGGGAATCTCCGACGGGGGTCGTTAACTTGCAACTTGTCTTCGTTGTCGCGCCAACGGACTCAACGCCAGTCGATCGACATTGATAACAATTGCAGTGCATGGGCTCTAGACGAAAATAAATAAATAGATATACAAATAAAGAAATAAATAGAGGCCGCGCAACGAGTCAGACTTGTCTAACCTCTCGATTCTACCATAACTCAAATTAATCGTTTCGACGCCGAGCCACTTCAATGCCAGGTGTTTTTTACGGCCGCCTTTAGTTTCGAATAAATTTTGCGCGCGCGATAAAACTTTCGGAGCTTCTTGGCAGACACTTCGGATGCGCTTTCGAGACTGCGCCGAGCGGAAAAAAAAGAAACCTTCCGTTATTTGGCGTTTCAATTGGCGTGTCGGCGCGATGCCTCCTCTTCTTCTTTCTCTTTTTTCGCACCCAAGGAAGACGATAAATGAGCGCGGATGAGTCACGAAAAGGAAAATAAGAGCCGAACGCGCGCGGCCGATCTCGTTTATCGCCAGAACTCTTTGTCCAATATGAAAGTAAATCGAGGCACGTGATTGGATTTCGCGCCAAAGATTACGTAAAGCGATGCGTTCGAGCTTGCGCTTTCGCGTTGGCGACGCCAAGCTCCTCGCCTCGGAAGATCGATGAGCGCTCTTCCGCGCCGCCGCGCCGCCGCGCGTACGATAATTGAAAAGCCAAGTGGCATTCGAGGCGCAATCTATATACGCGCGCTTGGAGCGCTGACTTGTAATTTGCGTAGCTAATCGCGGCGATAGCGCTGCTTCGGAGTCGCTCCCGCACGTGCGATTCGACGCGCTGGTCGCCCTCGCCGCGTGCGTAGACCGACCCGGCTGCTTAGTCCGCGCCAAGCGGCTCGCCTGTCAATTTACACGTGTACGCGCCGAAACATCGGCCGGTCCAACACGTCGGTCGAGCGTTAGAGTCGCCACGTCGCGCGATAAGCGTCCGATGACGATTCATTCGTTTTGCGCCCAGTGAACGTCGATCGCCCGGCCGGAAGCTTTTGCGAAAGCTCTCCGCTTCGCGCTCAGATCGTGGCTGTCGACGACCTTTACTAAGCGCTGCGGCCGCGTTGAGCACGCCAAGTATACAGCGTAGCGCGCATCGTTGCGCCGGTAAGTGCACTCGGCTCGCGCGAGCCTACTGTTTTTTTATTATGCGCCTGCCAATTTAATAATGGCATCGCATTATTTTCAGATAATTTTCGAGAGTTCGCCAATCTCTTTCGGTCACGGTCAATTGTTTACCGAATGAATTTCGGCTTTTCCACCGGCTTGATTGATCGAGTGGATCTTTCATTGGGCTTAAAAACCAATCCAATCGACAAGCAATTGTTATAAAACTTTAACTTCGATAAGAAACTGCACCTAATCATCTACTTATACAAAAGAAACATTACGTGCGTCGCGATTACTCAGCAATTTAGGGAAATCGCCACAGACTAACAGAAATATTATCAAAGAATATGTCGTGGAGAACTAAGAAATTACCTTTAAACTGATAAAAAACTGATCAGAAATAGAAAAGAAAACTCCGCAGGTACAATCGACGTTATTGTACGAATGGAAGCGTTGTTTTGAAGCATAGCTTCTTCCCCAGACGATTCTCACGTGACTCTGGAAAAAGTAAGGGGAAAAATCTCGGTCACCGCGTGCTTCTTCAAACCAACGACGTGCTAACGAAAGAGTCGGCGACACGTTCGTCCGAAGTAACCGAAGGCACGGCGGCTCTTGGTGATTGGATTTTCCGCGCGCGAAACAGCTTCGCCGAATAAACAGAGGCAACGATGAAATCGTCGGCTCGGCCTCGGAACGCGTCCGCGCCTGCTTCGCGATATCCGACGGTCGTCGTTAAGTCGAGCGTCGGAAAGGCTGATCAACGCGAACGATCGCCGGCTGATTGATTCCACGGTGTGAACCCGGCGTCGTCGATGATCCGCGGCGCTGCTTGGTATGAAGTGACGTTTATTGTACAAGTACCCTGTAAACAAAACAGAGACGCGAGAGGGAGAGAGAGAAAGAGCGATAGCGAGGAACAGTTTGCCGAGGGAAATGATGATGCGGGAGGCGAGTGAAAGAAGAGAATGAAATGGAATGGATTACTGGGCCGGCGCTCGGAATCGGAAAACGAGGATCGAAACGCCAGGTTTCGCCCGTTCGATCGCGCTCTCTCGCTCGGGCTGCTCCTTGCGTTTTCTCAGGCTCGTCTTTCGAGCTCGGAGCGCGGGCGGACGGCGCGGGTCGGCGGTCGGCCGCGTCACGAGCGGCGCGAGCGCGCAGAGGGACGAAGGCCAAATAGTGGGAGGCGGCAGGTGACTTCCACTCGCTGCATCTCCGCGCGCCGATCCTCGCAGTTCTCTCGCGCCGCCCGCAGGCCGACACACAGCTTCGCCTCGCAAGCACGCGCGCCGCACGCCTTCGGCCACAATCCCGTCCGTCCAAAGTCGCGGAGCTGCGGTCCGCGCGCGATTCGGTGCACGCGACTGGAGACTGGCTGCGGCATCGACTCCGCTCCGACACCCTGGCTGTGCTCGCACTCTCGGCGGACGCACGCGCGCCGATGCGCCACTCTTCTTTCCTCTCGCCCGCTTATCTCGTCACACTTCCTTCGAATGTGTGAGTATTTCCATTTTCTCTCGGCGCGTCGCCGACGGCGACGACAAATTGTTTGCTCGAGCGCCCTCGACGAAATTATAATTTATAAGCAAATGTTGTAAATCCGACGTTTACCGTGTGTTCCTCGCAGTATGTATGTCGAGATTTATTGGTCGCAGTGGGCTGGTTTGTTCAATGGAACGGCACCCAATGAAAACTGCGTCGAGTATTTGCGTTAGCGCGGAGAACAATTTTTTTTTTTAAATTGTACGTCGTAAAGATTTTCGATTCTCGAACATATGCCAAAAAATTTTCACATGATCACGAGATTTGTCGCATAACTCATTTTCTTTTCGTAAAACAACGAGATAGAACGAAAAAAAAAATAATAAATAAAAACAATTGCGATTGCAAACGAAACGACTGTTCGGCGACAAAAAAAATTCGTCTAATCTGGCTCGTTAAATGCAAGCGAGTGTCGACCACTCGTTGAAGTCAGCAAAGAGCGCGATATCGGATGTACAGTATGTAAACAATACTTGGAATGCATAGACTTAAACTCCTCGGATCAACGGATTTTGGTCCTATGCGCCGCTTTATTTATTGCTCTCCGGGCAGTCACAATTTATCAAATTGAAAAAAAAAACAGAGAATGATCCATCGAAGGACAAATAACAATCTCTCCGCGGTGGATTTTAGATTTTCCTCTTCCGTTATTACGACGCTCGTGGCCTTCCTGCTTCCGCTCTCGTGTGCTACGAAACCTTCGGTATCGAATGAACGCGCTTCGAGCGATCAATCGAAGATTTCTTCCGAGTGGAAAGAGACAGGTCGCTTACCGATTAGCGGAACGCGCGGGCTTTTGGCGCGCGCGCTCAAAACGCACGTCGGACAGCCCCGACAAAACCAGGCCGCTTGGCGTCGCCCTAAACAAACGCGACTCGCGTGCTTGCCGCAAAACTCGCGAGCGCGCGCGACTTCGGCTTGTTTGTACAAGCCGGATCGGGATCCCTCGCGACCGCCGACTGCGAATGTCATCGCGGCAAAACGACACCGCCGCGCCGACGAAAAAACGTCTGATTTGAATTTCACGCCGCGGCCGTACTGACGATCGACGCGCCCTGTATCGCTGATTGATGATCGATCGAATTCCGCTTTCGCTTTTTTTTTTCCAGGGCAATCGTTAGCATTATTACGCAAGCGATACTATGGATGGATCTTGAGTTCTTCACTTGGAGTGTAACAATAATATCGCGAACCTTGGACGTTGAGTTATTAGTGAATAGGGCATCGAGAAGAGCGATCATCTTATCTCTCTTTTTTCCATTACTTGAAATTCAAGCGATTCAAATTCGCCGAAGTGATTGCAAAGATTGCGCCGGTCAATCGTTCGACGCGAACGTACGTTTGTCCGTGCGAAACTAGGCTGCGCACCGCCTTTTTGATGTTTTTTTTTTTCAGCTTCGTACCGGCAGATAAAAGTGAACGAGAGCGCGCGCAGCATTCACTGCGAGATAGCTCACCTTCGCGCGGATCATTGAACTCGAGCGCGCATCGCGGGCGCCAATTGTCAGCGGAATGTTTAGTCGCCAATGAATCGCTCGCTCTATCTTTAAACTCGCGCTTCTAACCCTGTTCCAGACAATTATACGAGCCGCGCCGCCGTTACGCGTAGCGCTCGCGCCTCGATCTTCCCAAACGCTAAATTCGAATCGAAACGAAATTTTTCAGAAGAGGACACTCGCGTCGCGAGGCGTTTGGGGCGGCATGTCCGTCCACGCCCGCGGAGCTCGCGATGTCTATTTCGACGCGTATCTTCCATTTCGCGAGCGAACAATTCTTTGACAGTCATCAAAATTTAAAAACACACAGACACACACATCTGCGCACACGGAAGCCTTGCGTTATTAGAAACTGCGTACACTTAATTCTTTTTTCGCAGTTGTTTTTCGATTGATCAATATTTAGCGAAGTATGTACGAAAAAAGCCAATGAGCGGAAGATTTGATTATATCTCGTGCACGGTTACGTAAAGCTTTTCAATGATACGATATAGTTTCGTCGTGCGAATGAAATGTTCTCTCTCTCTCTCTCTCTCTCTCTCTCTCTCTCTCTCTCTCGCTATAAATGATCGAGTTATTAACCTATATTTCTTAATTGAAGCTTTTCCATGCATAGTTACATTGTTTTAATATTCCACGTAATTTTTCTTTAAAAACACGTGACCTCCTTTTTTATTTTCGCCACTTTATGAGATACAAAACGGCGCGGTCGTAAATGACTATTCTTTTTCTTCTTTTTTTTTCATTTTAATGCCGTGTAATCACATACATTTTTTTTAAAAAGCAATTTCACTAATTTTCGAGGTAAGAACAAACATACGCGCGCCTGCTACCGAAACTGTCGAAGAGGCTAATAACTGGTTATTCACTGATAAAAATAAAAGAACGAGGAAGCGAACGCAGTGTGCGCTCGTGCGACGATGATGAAATGACAAAATAATTACTACAGGAGTGTAATGCGGGAAGGTTAATGAGTTAAGACAACTGGGAGAAAACATGAGCGTGAACTTGATTACGAGCGGCGCGACGGTTTTTGACGAATTTTTTTTTGGGGGGATCGAGTAACGACATTGTGGTTCGGATGTGCGTTTAACTTACTCTGGATACCTACACGCGTCTCGTTTATTATTTTTCCATTAGTGTTTACATCAGGGATTATCTTGTTTTCTCTCTGTATAGTGTTTGGAATGTCACAAGTGTTGCTCTAGCATTCGGTTTTGATATGATGTAGTCATCAATTTTAACGTTTACTTGTCAAAGGGAAAGCTCGTTTTTTGAAATGTAACGATGAACATTTGATGAATTCTTATATATGCACTCTTGATAACTCGGTGCACCAAATCGAGATGCTTCGAAATGCAATGTTAAAATTAAAAAGGAAAAAAAGATAAAAGTGTCAACAAATTCTGAATACAAAATGGAAAATCGAAAGGAAAAGAAAATGTTTACCACGTGAGTGTAGAAAAAAATACTAGTAAAAAAGTCGCGGCAGAACATTCGAAAAGGTTGCGCTACGCTCTGCATAAGTGTGCACGATGCACTCTAACGCGCTGGCGCAAGGGGTCGACGGATCGATAAGGGGTTGCTCGTCGGCCGAAGTTGAATATCACCAGCAAAACTACCCTCGTAGCGACCGTGTGGCCTAACGGATAAGGCGTCGGACTTCGGATCCGAAGATTGCAGGTTCGAGTCCTGTCACGGTCGAAAAATTTCTTTTTTTCTTCGTCTCTCTCTCTCTCTCTCTCTCTCTCTCTCTCTCTCTTTCCCTTTATCGCGTGACACTCGGTGCTCGGACAGTTTTAACGAGTTCGGCTGAGCGTATGCACTCTTGAGATGCAGCAGCACACGGAAAATTTATTAGTTATTATTGCGGTCGTATTAACGCGCGCGATATTTAATTGAGCTGATAGTAAAAAAGTTTTCCTTTTTTCCTTGTTCTTCTTTTCTTTTCACTTTTATGTGCCATCGCAAGGATATCTTTTTTTCTTTTCCAAGTGTACTATCCACTGTAATTTTTACAACTTGACACACACACACACACACATATAAAGTCATAGCGAGTGGAACATCGTAAATGTCCACATTAAATATCGTGAATTACAATCGAACGATGTTTTCATCGCTCCAAAACGTGGTGTTGGTGTATACATTGTTTTCTGCTGGTAAAAAAAAATCCAGGAAATCCTGATTAGTTTTTCTCGCGATTTGCGCATTCCAGAGCATCGAGTGCTTGCATATTCCATAACAATTATATCAATTATTTTATGAATTTAATCGCGATAAGAATGTTTGCAGATCGATGCTTTTTATTGTAGATGCTAATGTTTTTCATTAAGAACGTTTTTTTTATAACGCTCTTTTCCGCGTTACACAATTACCGTCACGATAGGTGATTTGTTTGATAATAATCCCGGACGTATGACTTATTCACACCGATCTTGCGTTGCGGAATCGAACCAAAAAAAAAACCAGGTCGAAACGAAATTCTAGTTATTAAGAATATTTGGATTGATTTTGAGGAAATACGTTTATTGTACACTCGTTATTCATCAAACGTAAAGGTTTCAAAGCGATTTGCGATTCGACTGGAAACCCCAATTTTCGTTTTTTTTAGGAAAGATACCATACATAATTTTTTTGTCTAACATCAGAACCCAACTTTTTGCCAGTTCTTGTTTCTTCGATTCAACTCCAATGCGTCTGTTTGCCAACAAACTCGTCGAGTTACGTACGCCTCATTGTTGCGTGAGAATTCGTAACAATTAGCAAATATCTCATCGTCCGTAATTGGAAGTTCGTGAAAAATGTGGTTCTCTTTTTATTTCGCGCGCGCGAAAAAAAAAATCGGAGGAGACAATTGCGCAACTGTCGCCGCGGAAAATTTACCTTGTACTTTGCATTGCGAATTCGATTTTTCATTCGAGAATGATAAACGTCGATTATGCTGAATTATTATAGTTATACGAAAGAAACTCGGCCACCGCGGGAACTTGAAACACGAATGCGTAACCGTTCGTTATTAAATGACCTTTTCACATTCGATTTAATTGTCATCAACATTTTTCTTCAAAATTCAGAATTCTTCAAAAAATGAAACTGACTATTAAATTGTGAAGGAACTATTTTATGTTCCGTCATGGCGAATCGTGGAACAAAATGATAAACGCAAAAACCGTTGCAAGTGAAATTAAATTAATTTATCAACAATCGCGATTCTCTATTACACAATCCACGCATCCATCACAACGACATTAATTACATAATTAATATCATTCCTACCCTTTTCTAAGGGATAAACGCGTTTGGCAGAGGTATCTTGTTATTTATTATTTATTTAATTATTTTTTTTTGCAATGCAATTTCATCAAATTCTCACACCAATTGGTAGGAAAATAAATAGTTTCGAAATAACCAGCGTACCGAGAATAGCCAATGCTAAATTTTCAAAACTGGCTGTGTGCTTGCAGCTATCGAGTGAGCGCAAAACTTAGCCCCGCCGTCGAGCAGCAGCAGCAGAAGGAGAGCAGCGCAGAATCAGCAGGAAGACTTCGCCAAATTCTAATCACCGACGCCGTCGCCAACGAGCACAGCAGCCGTTTCACCGCGCACGAGACAACTTGAAGTTGTTAAAACCTAACTCGTTTCTTGTCGTTGTACACCACCTCCTCCCTCCCCCCACAGATTCAATTAACCGCGCCGACATCGTAGGATGGTAGAAGGTGGATTCGACTCAAAGCAAAATCATAGTGAGTATCTTTTAACGAAAGTGGCTCTGCCTGGCATATCCAACGGCTCGCGTTGACTGACACTTATTTTTTCGAACAGAGGGTGATGTAAAAGACGATCGCCGAAACGGCTGCGGTTCAAAGGACCTCGAGCTCGCACGTAAGTGCAAACGTCGTGTGCACTAAACTAACAAGGAAGGAAGAAGTAGACAGTTTGCTTAAAATAAGAACTCATTCTTCTTTCTTGTATTTTTTTTTTCTTTCTTTCAACTTGGACTCTACGCAAGAGATTTATAACGGGCGCTTATCGCAAAACAAGCTGGTCGATCGCGTTCAGGCGTTAAGTTCACGTTAATAAGAGGGCGGGGTGTCTGTGATGGTGTTGCAGGCATTGGGTCAAAGGGCAAAACCCTAGACCCCGAGAAAGCGCCGGACACAAAGGCCTTCATCAAGGCTGACTTTGAGCAGGCAATCGAACTTACCGGTAAGTCGGCCGGTGGACGGTTGAGTTGTCCGAAAAAAAAAAAAAAAAAAAAAAAAAAAAAAAAAAATATATATATATATATATATATATATATATATATATATATTTGGCGCGCTGGGCAGGCTATGGCAGGTTCCACTACTTCCTGCTGGCGGTGTGCGGCTTCGTCAGCACGAGCGAGGAGATGGACGTAATATCCATGAGCTTCATCCTGCCGTCGGCGCAATGCGACCTGAAGCTCGACACCCAGGACAAGGGATGGCTGAACTCCATCATCTTCATCGGGATGATGGCCGGGGCGTACGCTTGGGGCTCCGTCGCCGACGCCCTTGGCCGCCGTAAAGTCCTCATCGCCATCTCCTTCATGAACGCGCTGTGCATCGTCGCCTCTAGCTTCACCCAGTCCTACGAGCTGTTCATGCTCTTCCGTTTCCTCAACGGCGCCGCGTGAGTATTGCACTTACCCCGAGTTGTCCGACGAGTCCGCCAGCGCTAAAGCTCGAATCTCCGGCCGACAGCCTCGGCGGCAGTGGACCGGTGATCTGGTCGTACTTTGCGGAATTCCAGCCGAAATCCAAGCGCGGCTCGATGCTGTCGTTCATGGCGGCCTTTTGGACCCTGGGCAATCTGTTCGTGGCCGGTAAGCGAGCAAATCTAATATACGTCCTCGGCTACTTCGCTCGCTAAACGACCGCGCACGCTCGCAGGACTCGCCTGGCTGATCATCCCGACGGACATCGGCTACAAGAGCGAGTCGTTCACGTACAACTCGTGGCGAATCTTCCTGCTGATCTGCGCTGCTCCGTCGTTCATCGTGGCGGGGCTGCTGTTGCTGCTGCCCGAATCCCCCAAGTACCTGCTGTCGCGGGGCAAGTACGACAAGGCGCTGGACATCTTCCGCGGCATCTACGCCAGCAACACTGGCAAGCCGCGGGCCAGTTACCCGGTGAAGGAGCTGCTGCTGGACGAGCTGCAGGCGGCCGAGCCGAAGAAGGTCGGCGCGCCCGTGGTGAACAAGTGCAAGCTAATGCTGAGCAACATCATGAACAACAGCCGCCAGTTATTCGTCTCGCCAATCCTGCGCTTCACCGTGATCTCTATCGTGATCAACCTGACCTTCCACATCGGCTACTACGGCCTGATGATGTGGTTCCCCGAGCTGTTCAACCGCTTCGACGAGTTCCACCGCGAGTACCCCGAGCGCTCGGCCAGCGTCTGCGAGGTCACGGACTTCGTCGTGAACAAGGGCTCGCAGAGCGAGGCCAACTTCTGCAGCGACAAGATCGGCGCCTCCGTCTTCATGGAGTCGCTCATCACCGTCGCCTCGGCCATCCCGGCCAACATCGTCGCCGTACTCGGCATGGACCGCCTCGGCCGCAAGTTCTTCCTGCGTGCGTAGCACCGGCCCCCGCCGGCCCCCGACGGCTCCCGACGGCCCCTCTCATCCGACCTTATCTCTGCTTTGCAGTCTTCAGCACGCTGTCGGGAGGAGCCTGCTCGATCGGACTCTACTTCGTGCGCAACAAGTACCAAAATGTGATAGTCTCGGCGTTCTTCAGCGGCGTCATCAGCTGCGGCAACGCGGCCCTCGACTGCCTCATCACCGAGGTCTTTCCCACCAACCTACGAGCGACCGGCATCGCCATATCCATGGTCGCCGCGCGCCTCGGCGGCATCATCGGCAATATCGTCATCGCCCAGCTCCTCGACATGTACTGTCCGGCGCCCACCTTCATCGTGGCTGCTCTTCTCATAGGTCAGTACTCTACTTCTTTCCCCGTAGGCCATGCCGCGAGCTTGGCAGCCTTCGTTCTTCGCTTCAAACTCTTCCCTTCGACTCGTCTCTTAGCGCGACTTTCCTTTTTAATCTGGCCCACGTAACATTTCTTTCGACCAGTCAATTACATTTCAACAACACATTATGATCGAAGCTGACTTAATCCATTTACTTTCACTCAATACAAAAATTCAATTTTTCGATTGAAAGAGTTGGAACTCTTTTTTGTTCAACAGAAAAATAAAAAAATTGTCAATTATATTTTGCAGGTGGAGGCTTACTCTGCTTATTCTTACCAAATACAACTCGCGCGCCACTTTCTTGACAGTGCCTCAAGGATGACAAAGAGGAGGATGCCGTCGGACTAGTCGTTCCCCAAAGCCGTGTTCCCATGATGCAAGCCGCGGCTCCCTGACCGGAAGAGGAATCAGTAGACCTTTTCTTTTTCTCTTGTGTTTCTTTAGATTTATGTAGAGCAACGACCAATACGACGCACGCACGCATTAACTCCAACATTCTTTTTACATCTGCGCCGCTTTCTTTTCAAAATATGACGACAATCCCGGCTCCGAAAATTCGATGGAGCAATCGAGTACATAAAAAATGAGACATTTTTTTTTCAACTGCAAAATAGTACAGACGATGTTGGAACAACCCAAATTATCTCATTATTCAACGACAGATTGAAAAGTTGAAATGGATTTGTCTGGAAAACATGTTTACACGGAGATCGAAAATTAATTATCGACGTCATTCGTTAACAATTACTGAACATGTTTAATGTTACTGGTCTGCTTTCTTTGAATTGACCATCGAAAAAAGATCGACGTAATCTAATCGAAGACGATATTGTAAATGTGTGGACTAATATATACATTGCTTATTATTATGAATGGAGATGATCTATGGCGAAGAGATTATTTGTATAGAACTTGTGAATATTGAAATGACGGAGATAGTTGTACGTTTGTTAATTTATATAAATACATTATTTGATAATTGCTATAATGAAGCTGTACAATATGTAACAAAAAACAAACATTTTACATATCATCGAACGGTGAACGCACGCACCACAGAAACACAGACACAGATGCACACACACACACACACACACACACACACGCGCGCGCGCGCGCGCACACGCACACACGCACACACACACACTCAAATGTAGGAATCAATGTAGATTGCCAATGATCAATTCCAGCAGATATTTGCAGTTATATACAAACACATATTTGTTATCGTTTTCTCATTAATATTTGTTGATATTGTTTGTTTTTAAACAAATTTACTCTTTGATCACTATAACTTTGCCAGAGAAACGGAAGATACAATCTGTATATCAACACCAGACACGTGCATTTTGTAAACATGAGATCATTAATATTAAACTGAAACAATAAGTATTATATTGCACTCAAAATCTTGCGTTTTTAGAAAGCTTATCTGTTGGCTCGCATAAGCGTGTAAAAGCGATGGCATGTAAAAAAAAAACTATTTTGTAAAATGTAAAATAATTGTTATCGTTGAAAAATTTCTAGTTAACTTGTAAGATGTTAGTGTTTGTCCATTAAAAACAAAAATAAAACGACGAAAAATATAACGTTTATAACTGGGGTTAAACTTGACCACTTAAAATAGTTCAATGTAAGAATAAATGCACTAATTTGTACTCATTCTTAGAATACTCATAAATAAAAATAATCTAGACTTTTACAGTCTAACTATGACTTATTTTAATGATTGACCCTAATAAAAAAACTACACATTTCATTTAAATGTTAGAAAATATTGATAGTATTAGGAAAAAATATTTTTTCAATGTACAAAATACTATATAAAAAGACAAAAAGTACATTTAACAATATAAAAGCTATAAAATTAATAGTTAATTATAAATAAAACACAAGAAATTTTAGAAAGTTAAAGAGAACAATGTAAACTTTATTTTTCCTCTTTACATTAAATATCGCTTAATCTATCTCAAATTTACTCCCTCATCATTTTCTCTTTTTGGCGAGCAAGTTTCTTTTTGCTCAACTTTTTTATAGAGGGTTCATCCTCTGTTGCTTTGGCCACAACATCTTCTTTCTCAGTCAGAATTACTTCTATGTGGCATGGAGAGCTCATGTATGCTGTAAAAAGTATGTTTCACTGAGTTACTGAATTGTAAATCAAATATAATTAAATATTGATCTAATGTGTATGAGAAATATATTGTTAATCACATAATTAATATTAAAATACATTCTGATATCTAGATAATTAATCAAAAATAATGTATACTAAGAACAAAATTAACAACCTTCGAAGATAAATCATTTTTAGCTTATTCCATACAACTTAGGGTATATTAGGATGAAAATTTTGGCATGCTTAAGGTGGCGAAAAATTTCATATAAATTAAGTGTTAGAAAAATACTTACGGTTGATACGACCATGAGCTCTGTAGGTCCTCCTTCTTAAGCACGGAGCCTGATTCACTTGGATATGTTCAATAACTAGTCTATCAATTTCCAGCCCTCTCAAGTCTGCGTTACTTTCGGCATTTTTCAACAGCTGTAGTAAAAATTCTGCTGATTTTTTGGGCCAACGACCTGTGCATTATATTTCATTAGCTTATGTAAAGTTCAATAAAACTATATTGTGCTAGTAAGTTTCAAAGTATTTCTAACAAATCTACTGATCAATTGCGTTTGCATCTTTCTGTGACATAATTAATAAAAGTTTTAGTATAATGAAATGATATGAATAAATTAAAATGTTTACCTTGAGTGGTACCCCATTGTTTTGCTTGGGCGCACCTTCCCACGCCACCATTAAACCTCCTAAAAGGTACACATTCTTTCATTTCAATGACGTTTTTTAAATATTTTTGAGCTCGCCTGAGCTGCATATTTTTTATGGCCCTTGCAGTCTCATGAGTGTTCTATAAATTATATACATGTCATTAGTATTATAGAACGAAAAATTTTTTATATATAATATTCCAAATTATGTTATATTATATAAATTATTTATATTCCAACTCAAAAACTAAAAGTTGTCAAATTTATGACAAGTAAATTCCACACAATAACGTTATAAATGACTTTATAAGTTTACAAATCAGATAGAAATTACAACTGTTATGATCTAGCTTAGCATGCTCAGTATCTAAAATAAGTAACTAAACCACAGTGAGACATTTTGAGTGCAAATAAAAAATTCCTAATTCAAAAATAATTGAAAATATCAACTCAAAAACGCGTGATTGAAACGTGGTTACTCTCGGAGGTTAGATTACCAAAATTTTGAAGTAAGAGTTTTGTTGACACAGACGAATTCAAAGTCGAGCCTTCCACTGATAAAGAAATCATACTATCACGACTACATGAAATATTTGACAACCAAACATGCCAAACTGTATTTTTATGAGAAGTAAATCCATACATTGTCATATTGTTTAACCACAAAAAGGAAATAAAGTACCTTGAAGTGTACACGAAGGTTGGAGCCGCGCGCCTTACACGACTTGCCAGGGTTAGAAGCTTCATGCGAGTATCGGCCCATATTGTTCTTCTGCAACACAAAGCACTCTAATGAACCTTTAATATTTATCACAACAAATGATCACTCGTGAAATCCGCTCATCAAACCGGGTATGTCACGCGATTTCGTTAAAATTTTTTTCGATGATCAAGTGAATTTCACGAGAATAATTTCGACACAAGCCGATAAAGCAAAGTTGAGATTCAACCATAAACATTATTTTAACAATTTACGGATTTTTTGACAGCGATGCAAGCGGATTTTCAAAATTGTTTCAACTCGATTATAACATATGTATACCTTTTTGTGAGACCGCGAACTGAAAAGAAAAAGAATCGTACCGGAAACAAGCGCCCTCGACTGACTTCCTTTGCAGATGGCAGCAGCGATTCCCGACGAAATTATTTTTGAATCTGGCCCATTAGCACAGAAAGAAAACTAAATTAATTTTTATTTTTAAATAGGTAAACTTCGACTTAATCTTTTAGCTACTACACGCAATCAACAAGACAATAATGAAACCGCAACAGTTTACTAGTCTATCCTTTCCGATGAGCCAACCCCCGTCACATTGATTGAAACATTCCAGTATAGGTTCGTATCAAAATCAACGTTGAATACCGAAAGGAGGAGATCCAAACCTCTTCCTTCTTTGAAGTCGGATCCGTTTTCTCGCTGCAGTCAGTCGCTGCCTCCTCTATTTTTCTACCAAGAACTTTTACTTCCGCGTAGGATATATCCTTGCTACCAAAAGTTATAGTCGCTCCACTCCCATCAACTCATCTTGTTCATCTTCCGCTCCTCCCCCCTTTTTGTTAGATTAGCAATGAACAAATATAAACACTTGAATATAGTTTGAGACTTCACAAAAAATTTTAGAAATTTATAGAGAACAACGTAAACTTTATTTTTCCCCGTTACATTAATCATTGCTTAATCTATCTTAAATTTACTCCCTCATCATTTTCTCTTTTTGGCGAGCAAGTTTCTTTTTGCTCAACTTTTTTATAGAGGGTTCATCCTCTGTTGCTTTGGCCACAACATCTTCTTTCTCAGTCAGGATTACTTCTATGTGGCATGGAGAGCTCATGTATGCTGTAAAAAGTATGTTTCACTGAGTTACTGAATTGTAAATCAAATATAATTAAATATTGATCTAATGTGTATGAGAAATATATTGTTAATCACATAATTAATATTAAAATACATTCTGATATCTAGATAATTAATCAAAAATAATGTATACTAAGAACAAAATTAACAACCTTCGAAGATAAATCATTTTTAGCTTATTCCATACAACTTAGGGTATATTAGGATGAAAATTTTGGCATGCTTAAGGTGGCGAAAAATTTCATATAAATTAAGTCTTAGAAAAATACTTACGGTTGATACGACCATGAGCTCTGTAGGTCCTCCTTCTTAAGCACGGAGCCTGATTCACTTGGATGTGTTCGATAACTAGTCTATCAATTTCCAGCCCTCTCAAATCTGCGTTACTTTCGGCATTTTTCAACAGCTGTAGTAAAAATTCTGCTGATTTTTTGGGCCAACGACCTGTGCATTATATTTCATTAGCATATGTAAAGTTCAATAAAACTATATTGTGCTAGTAAGTTTCAAAGTATTTCTAACAAATCTACTGATAAATTGCGTTTGCATCTTTCTGTGACATAATTAATAAAAGTTTTAGTATAATGAAATGATATGAATAAATTAAAATGTTTACCTTGAGTGGTACCCCATTGTTTTGCTTGGGCGCACCTTCCCACGCCACCATTAAACCTCCTAAAAGGTACACATTCTTTCATTTCAATGACGTTTTTTAAATATTTTTGAGCTCGCCTGAGCTGCATATTTTTTATGGCCCTTGCAGTCTCATGAGTGTTCTATAAATTATATACATGTCATTAGTATTATAGAACGAAAAATTTTTTATATATAATATTCCAAATTATGTTATATTATATAAATTATTTATATTCCAAATCAAAAAGTAAAAGTTGTCAAATTTATGACAAGTAAATTCCACACAATAACGTTATAAATGACTTTATAAGTTTACAAATCAGATAGAAATTACAACTGTTATGATCTAGCTTAGCATGCTCAGTATCGAAACTAAGTAACTAAACCACAGTGAGACATTTTGAGTGCAAATAAAAAATTCCTAATTCAAAAATAATTGAAAATATCAACTCAAAAACGCGTGATTGAAACGTGGTTACTCTCGGACGTTAGATTACCAAAATTTTGGAGTAAGAGTTTTGTTGACACAGACAAATTCAAAGTCGAGCCTTCCACTGATAAAGAAATCAGACTATCACGACTACATGAAATACTTGACAACCAAACATGCCAAACTGTATTTTTATGAGAAGTAAATCCATACATTGTCATATTGTTTAACCACAAAAAGGAAATAAAGTACCTTGAAGTGTACACGAAGGTTGGAGCCGCGCGCCTTACACGACTTGCCAGGGTTAGAAGCTTCATGCGAGTATCGGCCCATATTGTTCTTCTGCAACACAAAGCACTCTAATGAACCTTTAATATTTCTCACAACAAATGATCACTCGTGAAATCCGCTCATCAAACCGGGTATGTCACGCGATTTCGTTAAAATTTTTTTCGATGATCAAGTGAATTTCACGAGAATAATTTCGACACAAGCCGATAAAGCAAAGTTGAGATTCAACCATAAACATATTATTTTAACAATTTACGGATTTTTTGACAGCGATGCAAGTGGATTTTCAAAATTGTTTCAACTCGATTATAACATATGTACCTTTTCGTGAGACCGCGAACTGAAAAGAAAAAGAATCGTACCGGAAACAAGCGCCCTCGACTGACTTCCTTTGCAGATGGCAGCAGCGATTCACGACGAAATTATTTATTTTGTCTAGTGGTCTGAAAGTATTATAGTGTATATATATATATATATATATATATATATATATATATATATATATATATATATATATATATATATATATATATATATATATATATAGTATTCCAATTTCAGCTGCGGCTCGATCGGTAACATACTCATTTTGGCCTCGTTGGGTAAATATAATATTTATGCACTCCGGCCGGGAAATTAAATAGGCAAACCCATAGCATGTGTTTGTCAACCTCGGCTTCGCCTCTGTTACGAATTGTCATATACTATAGACTTCATTAATATTTTCCTGGTTGGGATGAGTAATCTACTTTAAAGATTCTGATTTTGTGTTTCTGTATTAGATTATAAACTAGTATAGTCAAAAGTACATCTTCAGAAGGAAAATTTGTATACCTATTACTCATTAATCCATTAATCCTGTCAATATGGTATTTGAATATATTTATTAATAATGTACTTACTTGGTTAAAACCATTTTTATTTTGAAAAGCCTCCACTATTTTTCTATCAAAATCTTTTACTTTCCCTTAGGATATCTTGCTACCCAAACTTATATAGTCGCTTCGCCTCCATCAATTAGGCTTATTCATCTTCCGCGCCTCTCTCCCCTTTTTACTAGATCAACAATGAACAAATATATAGTTTCAGACTTCCAAACGTCGTCGTTGGAATCGGCTTGAAAAGCAAGGCTAAGCACGCTTTTTCCCCTCTAAAGCATCTCTGCGAGCGTAACCATGCCAACCAAATAGATGGAAAATGCCAGTGGCTGGCCAATAGTAAGCGTGACTAGACGACTCGTGTGTTCATTATTGTTACTGTTGAAAATATTTTAATAATTGAAATATTTGTACACGTATAAGGTAGCTTTTTTATATTTAAAGGTAACTTTAAAATTAATTTTAGAAATCAACGTATAATATTTTATCTTAGAAAAACTATATTTTGAATGTATCAGAAGTACATTTGACAGTGACATATCGAAGCGTGTAAGAGCTGAATTTTTTAGCTACAGTAGTTATACTCAATATAATGAAATCGAAACAAATAACAATAGATATTTGCGTTTTTTTCTGTACATTTTATAAGTATACAAACATCTGCATAAATGCTATTTAATTTCTTTTATGAAATGTGAATCATAATACAATTTGATGTGGTTATTTGTTTCTTAGTTAAAAATTATTTTACTGAATGCAGACTGCATATGCTGACAAGCACAGATAAATAAATAATCATTGTTTTTTTTCATCTGTTGTCATTATTTACAGGCTTGAGCCTCACCATCCAAGTGCTGTATTTGTTGCCTACACATCCATGTGACTGTTATTTACAATTGTATATTTTTGTTAGCATTACTGTTTATACAAGTTTTTTAATTTTAAAAAGGTAATACAATTATATTTTTGTAGTATCATTCAATTTATTTGATTTTATTGTATTTGAATTTTTTATTTTATTATTATTAACATTTTAGCATTTAACATTGTTTATTCATAACTAAAATGGTTGTTATTTCCGGAATTCTAACAATGAGACCAAATGAAGAAGAGATTGAAAGAAAAAAAGAAATAAGAGAATATATATGGTCAACCGGATATAAAGAAGTTCAGCTATTACATTTAGCTGCTATAAATGGTAGTAGGGATAGTATTAAATTCTTCATTGAGAGTGGTCATGATATTAATGCTCAAGATTCCGTAGGCAGAACTCCTTTGATGTGGGCAATAAAAGCAAGGAACATAGACACCATAGAAGCTTTATTAGAAGCTGGTGCAGATATGTTTTTATTAAACAAAAATTGCATGAGTGCAGTAGACATGTTTTTCTCAGATCCAAGTATACAGATTATTGTACATAAGATTTTTATTAATGCAATGGAAAAAATATGTTGTACTGATGAAGAGATAATAAGAAGAATAACCAATACAAATTGCAATCTGTATCAAGCTACATTTTTTAAACGAATAAAAGTTATTGAACATTTAATTGAACAAGGCTATTCAATCCATTCTACACACCCTGTAACTAATCAAACAGCTTTACATGTAGCTGTGATGTTAGAAGATGTTGAAACAGCCAGAATTCTTTTAAAACATGGAATTAACTATAATGCAATAGATTTTTATAGCTTAAATGTTTTAGGCTACTTATATCGGTTCAATAATGAACACACCATTGAAAAATTACAACTATTGGAAATGTTATTGGATTCAGGAGTTTGTGCAACATCATATAATCAAAATGGTGCATTTCAAATAGACTCTACACTTATATGGGGTAGTGCTGAAGCAGTACGTTTAGTTTTAGAGTCAGACATTGATTTGGCAGCTGAAGATACCACTAATCAGAATTTTTTCCACTATCTTGCAACAAATAATGCACCAAACATAGCTAATGTCTTAAAACCACACATACAGAAATTTAAATTTAGGCTAAATAAAGCTGAGGATAAATGGAATCAGAGCCCATTACATAAAGCTATAGTAAGTACCAATGTTGGTATGCTAAAGCTTTTATTAAAATGTGGTGCTGAAGTTAATAATCGAGATCGATTGGGTTATACGCCAATTTATCGTTCTTGTAATAAAATTATGACAAGAAATGAAGATGACAATATTCAATGTATTGAGCTTCTCTTACAGTATAATGCAGATGCACAATTACTTATGGATGAAGAAAGATCTACACCAAGTACAATTTTGGATTATCCCTTGAGAAATAATCACTATGGTCGAATAAAAATTATTGTTGCTCATTTTGTAATGCTACAAGAATTAGGTACACCGATCACTGATGTCATTCGGAAGAAAATCAATTCAGAACCTAGACTACAAAAATATTTTCACATATATCGAAAGGTGCTTAAAAAGAAATTTTTTGGATCTATGTCATTTTTGAATTTACTTAGTGCTAATACAATAAGAATGGCTTGTTACTCACGTAATCAAAAGTTGATGCTGAAATTAAAACGTATTAGCTATAAACCAAGCGTGAAGTGTCCTTCTTTATATTACTACAACACTTTGAAAATACGTATGAAACAAGCGAAATTGCGCAAGAAACTACAAGATCGTACAGCGCCAATTATCTGCAAATTTTTCAAAAATTGTGTGATCACTGAACAGCATCTTGTTGTATATCATTTATTCCATTATTTACGCGAAAAAGACTTGAGAAAACTGCTTCGACTATAGCAAGTATGCTATACAAATATCTAAATATTAAATTTATTATCAGCCTTATTTTACTACAATAGTAATTTCTAACTGACTTGTATATAGTTACAAAATTGTAAAAGATGTAAAATATAACATTATTTAATTAAAGAAGTGCATTTCTTCTGCTTCACTATTTTCTTCTAGCGGCCTCACTGTCTTGAATAATTGTAAAAAGTTCCTACATTCACTCATATCTATATTACTTAAATTTATCGATGTTCCTTCAAAATATATTTTAAGACATCTCCACTTTGATTCTCGACATATTTTATAAGCTTCAACAACACACTCATTACCAATCGTTTGACAGAATGAGAGATCAAGTATTTCAAGTTTATTCGATGACTGCAACACCATAGAAAAACCAAGCGATCTTAAATTAATGCAACCAGAGCACAACAGGATTTTCAAATTCTGCATTGATTTGTAGAAAACATTATCTGTGACGTAAAATAAACGATCCATACATAAGTACTCTAGATTAGGTAATGATGTTACACTATCTACACCAAGATTCGTAAGATGATAACAATCTGCAAAAAAGATGTTCACATTGGAAAATAAATTCTCTTTTATAAGATCACAAGTAATAAATATCATGATTAGGCTCTGTACCACTAATATCCACACTTCTTAAATTTGGACATTTTCTAGTCAAAACTTGCAAAAATTCATCACCTACAATGCTATTTCTTCTCACATTAATTGTTGTAAGGTTTTTCAACTCAGTTAAGGGTTTTAAAGCTGGAAAATTTGGTTCATAAATTTGTGGATATCGTAATGTTGGAAGTTGTATAGCTTCCAATGTAGTACACAAACAAACACTTTTAATAAAATCAAAATATAGCTCAGATTCTAGAGGAGCACAAATTATTTTGAGCACTTGAAGATTTGGAAACTTTTTAATAATCTATAATATATAGAAAAAAATAATATTAATGTAAAATTACATAACATTAAAAATTAACATCAAAAGAATTACAATAACTTACTTTATAAGTGTTATTACTTATAATAGAATAACAATTTCTTAATGTTATCTTTTGAATAGATTTCCTAGGTAAATGTTTCAAACAATACCCATCAATTATAAAACAATTTATATCAATTTGTTGAAGATTTTGATTTGAAGAAAACAATTGTGATAGTTGATTATCAAACTTCTCTATATTTGAAGTATAACCAATTATTATACTTTTTAAATTCAGGCAACGAAGTGCTAAAGCTTTAATTTCTGAATGTGAAAATCCTAAATTTCTTAGATTAATAGATTTTATCTTTGGACACATTTTTGAAAGTTCTATTAAAATGCTGCTTCCTAGTTGGCTTGAAAATTTAGATAAATCAATACTGGTTAAATAAGGATGACACTTTTTTAAGATTTTATAAATAGAACATGCATCAGGATCTGTTAAGAACAATTCTTTGCTTGATTTGAATCCCCAATTGACTGGATTCAGATTCAGTGTACGTTGATCTTTCCATGCTTCTTTACTGATCATTTTCCAACGTTGACAAACTTAACAATTTATTAAAATTCATAAATAAATTTGTGTTTAATCTTTAAAAGATTTCAATTTCATACCTCTTTCAATCCTCACTCGATCATAGAATGGAAGGAAATTAATTATATGCCGCAGACAATCATTATTCAATGTATTAATAAGAGACCCATCTTTTATACTGTAGTTAATATATACATTTTTTGATGTTATATCAGGGTATGTCTTTAGGACTCTATCATAACACAAATAACAAATTCCGGTTGTATTATAAGAATCTGGATTATCTAATTGATTCCAAGAATTAGCTGGAATAACTCGTAAATAGTGTCTCTTGATAATAATTTGCCTTTTAAAACCAGCTTGTATAGCGCTTTAATATAAAAAGATCTTTTAATAAATATAAACTGTTTTTTCGTTATAAAAAAAAAGGTATAAACCTTTGAGCCTCATTAGCAGTACTGTAAGTTATGAAAGCATAGCTTTTTTGACTCTGACTTCCTGCTTCAAATTGCCATAGATTTTGGGGTCTTCTGTTTCTATTGACCTGTTTTTGTGTCTTTAAAATGCAATGAATTATACTTCCATACTTTGCAAATGTATTCACAAGTAACTTGTATGGTGTCTAAAGTAAAGCAACGAATTAAATAAATAAATTAAAAATAAAAATATAATACACCTTATTACTCACTGTAGAATCTATATTTGCAATTAAAATCTTTGTTATAGGTACGTTATCATACGTTTTCAAACTATAGTTATGTTCACAGATTCCTCTAATATCAATATTTCTTAAAAAATGAGCTTGAATATTAGCTTGATTCATTTTGAAACCAAGATAGATGAGATTTCGTATCTCAAAACTTTTAATCAGTACATGATTTTGCTATCAACTGGATCAACTATGATACAGTTGCCTGAAAGTTCACTCTCGATTTCAGTGACATTCTACTGACCTTTAATGTTTATGTTTATCCTAGTAATTTTCTAGTATCGTTCAAGTATATTACATCTGATATTTGGAATCGTTAAAATTGAAGAAGGCAGCTTATCCTAATTAAAAGAATTTTTATTGATCTATATGTTTATTGATCTTTTTATTGGTCACAGAGATTGACTGTTGATTATTCAGTCTATGTATTAACAAACTCAACATTCAATTGTGTTATAAAAGTATTTCATTCATACACTTACAGAAATACGTTTATTTATTGATATTACACTAGATTATAGTATATTTATAAAATTTTTTCCGAGTTATATAAAATATAAAATCGTAAATAATGGAGTGTAAACAATACTATAGTTGCACTTTTGAGCTTAAATATTATCAAAAGAAATGCAAGAAATAAATGGTCTGCATTGGTTGAATAACTTTTAGAAAAATTGATAAAACGGAATGACATTTGTGCTATAACAGCAGGAATTGTGAAATATAATTTAAAAAATGTCTTAAGATTGAATTAAATATTCAGATCTTTAAAAAGTTATGTAAACTCTTCTAAAGTACATTTATCAATCAAAATTCTATATTAAGCTATTTAAAAATCTAAAGTACAGCCATATAAAATAAAAAAAAATAGTTCTGGAACTAAGGTTGCATGCATTTACATAATAAACGTAAAATACAATGTTACTGTCCTCTTTTAAAGAGAGAAATTTCGGAAGAACTGTCATTCACGGCTTAATTAATGGTATTAAGAATTTGTGACTGTAGGTCACTGTGCCATAAAAAATATAAAAGCGTTTTGATTAACACTATATTTGTAGGCACTTGAACAAACTCGAGCAATTGGGTTTCAATACAATAAAACAAAATCTGCCAGTTTGAGAACTTAATATGATAATCTTCAATCAATTAAAACTTGATTTGATTGTGCAATTTTGATAACAGTGTGTGAGACTGAAATGTATGTAAAACATCTCATTCCATAATGTACTCGAATTCAAAAATTCTCGTTAAAAGACATACTGATAACAGTATATTCTGTATAGACTCTATTTCAAAGTTAGCCAAGTTTAAAATGCAAATTATCTTTTCTCTATGAACAGAAAAAAACTTGGTCGGCTTCTTAAGTATTATGGCAGTATATTATCAAATATTATGAGTCGCGATAACTTCAACTTGGCTAATTCTTGAACAGCTGCCAGAGTATAGCGTTGTTAACTATTCTTAAAATTCTCTAAACTTTTAACAATACAATTTTGGAATATTAATTCCGGATTAAGTTACTTAAGATTGCTTGCTGTATACATTGGATTTTTAAAGGTGGACGTCGCTTGTTTGTAGATTGGATTTTCACTCTGTGAAATAAAAATTTCTTAAATTAATTATGATTGAGTATGAAAAAAACAAGAAAATGTGCAGAAATACTCACAGCATCCCATTTTGCCATCATCCTCTCCTTCTCAAACTTAGCAAACTCCCTCCTGTCGTGAATAGTCGTAAGCAGCTTCCACAGCAGCAGCAACGCAAGTCCCACGAGCACCACAGCACCAATCACCCCCAAAACTATTCCTAGCACATAGACTTGCGGCGGGCAATCCCTCTGCTTTTGCACCTTAATCTGCCACTTTTTGTGCGGTACATTTTCGTAGTAGGCGTAGTAATACGAACAATCTTGATCGTCGTAAATGTGACAACCAATTTCTTTGTCGTCCACGTCGACTTCAAGTTTTTCCACCAATTCGTACTCATGATGATCTATACACGTGTTGTTACACTCGAGTTCCGTAAGATTGCCCGTTTTGAAAGCATAGCATAACACGCATGGCTTCAAAGCCTCGCATTTGTTCGGGCATGTACGGCACACGTCGCAAAACTCGCCAGTGTAACGATTCTCTTCGTCGGTGTTGCATTTGCACTTGCCACATTCGCATTTACCCTGTTGAAAAATCATTCACGATTTGCTCACTTAGTTTACAGTTGAATGTTACGATTAACACTTACGTGGCCAGAACATTCTATGTCACCAACAAAACACTTGCTCGTGTCAGTACTGCACTCGCAAGCCTTACCGGACCAACCTGGATTGCATTCACACTGACCGCACATACACTTGCCATGATCTTTGCCAGAACACAGTTGCTTGTTGTTACGATCGCAAGAAAAGTTGTCACACTCGCAGAATTGACCTGATATCACCTGTAAATCAATATAAATTTTCGAAATACTGAAATATTAATGCTGTAGTTTTTTATGACTCGTTAAGTGTTTTATGAGAGATTAATTGACTGATGATGAATTGACCACGGCATGACTTTGTAGTTTGTGAATGAACGTAAATTTACATAAACGAGAATTAGAAAACTCTGATTTGTCTCATGAATGGTTTGATAATAAGAATGTGAAAACTAATGGCTACGGACAAAACAAGTTTGAGACAGTAAAAAATGTAAAATTTTTTTATCTTTATGATTTACCTCTTCCAGATCTTCGCGCTCGTAACACGCACACATATTGCACTCGCAGCTGCCCCTGCCACTGCAGTCCACCGTGCTTGTATTATCCTTACGACAAGCAAACTCATTGATATTGGTTTGGCCTCGGTTATTTGTGTCACACTCGCATGCTTTACCGAAAAAGCCGTTATAACACGAGCATATACCACAGCTTAAATCTCCGTTGAAACCGCACTTTTCAGACTTAAGTTCAAAACCAAGATTGTCTAGACTACTTCGCTCACATGCACAATCGCAGATCATTTCTAAATTTACCGTCAAAGTTTCGTTGATACCGACCTAAAATTCAAATTAATTGTAAAATGAAATGTATTCTATGAATGATTCGAAAATAATTATGATAACTTACTGGTTTAATTACAAATGTTTGATTCCAATCCTCTTTCTTTTCAGGGCAAGCTGGTACTCGAACTTCCACGGTGAACTCAACTTTGTTACCGACTTTGAGACCATCGCATTTATCTGTTTTGACTAGAGGTCCATCTCCAAGACAGCTAGAATAATACGTTAGATCGACGTAATTACTAGCGTTATCCTTCATTTGTATCGAGCTTGAAATTGTGTTGTATTGATCGCGTACTAAATCGACAATATTGCTTGAATCATCGCTGAGCTTAGCTGCGTATGATCCTTCAATGACTTTCGTTAAATTTCTGTATATTTTGATCTGCTCTTCAGTGACGGCCCAGATTATGTTGATAGCATTATCTTTAACCTGGAAAAGTGGTTTTTCCATCAGTTATACCTCTAATTCACGTTAAAATTATACAATAAAAAGTGCTCATACCTTAAGGTTGATTTGAGAAATACTTGGATAATCTTGAAGGGTTGAATGTGTATACAATCCATTTTTGTCTAAATGGCAACAGCCATCATTTGGTTTGACTATACCCCCAAGTTTACCGTCACCGGCATAATGGAAACTAGCGTCGGTTGAAAAGAGTAAAAGCTTGCGAGCTTTCTCTCGCCAGCCAATTTCTTCTCTACATACAATTGCTTGCATTATTGCGTCGAAACCTCCCTCGGGAGCGTCTAAGTTGCCAGATACTGGCGCATCTCGTACTTGAGCCTGTAAATATGATGTACAATTTATATGACATTCATTACTAAGACTTTATTAAGATTTATCAGATTGATTTTTCATAGAAATTGTTACCGCAAATCGCTGAGTGTTCTGAGACAATGGCATGTGATTCTTATAGCCGTAAGGAGCAGCACAGCCGTCACATGGCTCCCGCAAACTATTATTAAAATAAGCATATGAACATTTGTTCAACATAATTTTGTTCAGCGTTTTAGTAGATTATACTTACGCTCTCGGCACCATGCTAACGTACGGCATAGCGACTTTATCAACAAAACTACCAAATCCTAAACGGAAGTTGCTTGTAATATTACTCATACTTTCAACAAGGAGAACACCCAAATCTGATAACTTTTGCTTATCATCCTTCATAGAATTACTTAAGTCCATAAGATAGTATAAATCTACAGGATAGTCAACTGCTTGTGCATACTCAATCCTTATTTTTTGAACTTCATCTAAAAGTATGACAAAATATTTTTACCCTAGCCCTTCCTGGTAATGAAATAAGAGTTTCATGTGCTTACTTATTCTAAGTTTCAAATTAATTTCTTGTGGATAAAGTTGTACAGCCTCTTGTTTATTACTAGTACTACTAGTTTTTGAAGACGTTTTACTGTTACTCTCTGACACAGTATGTACACTTGAGCTTGAAGATTGCTCCTCCTCAATTTCAGCAGTGATAGTTGTTTCTTCCAATCCTTTAACAGGAGCATAGTTACCTTTAGTCAGTTCTTTATATCTTATCAAAGTGTAATCGTTGCCTGGATTAAATGTATAGTTTGCTGGACAGTCTGCAGTTACTTTCACATTAACATGAGGAAGAAAGCAACGTTTATCTTGAAAATTCTAGACCACAAAGAGACTTTATGATTATTTAAGACTAAAAATTTAACTAGTAGAAGTGATAAGATGCTTGTGAAAACTCACTGATGCTGAGCACCAAGCACAGCTTGGCGTTTGAATACAATCATGGCACGTTTGTTTGCTGATGCAAGCATTGGAACCAACAGGCTTGCTGCTTGTTGACGAATTTACTGCCAAGCTTATGCTTATCCATGTTAGTGCTAATAGTGTTACACTCCACCACAAAGTATTGAACATCCTTGATAACCTAAATAATTATGAATAATTAGTAAATAACTATAGTCATTTCAGAGTTTTCTATTTTATTGATAATATTGTAAACTTATGTTCAACATTAATCATTTGAATTCAAAGAATGAAATTTCAAAAACTGAAAAATAATACAGATCAAGACTGATTATGGCTAATATTATAAAACAACTTGAAATACTGGCTGATGGAATTTTATTCAATAACAGTGTTCACTAATACAAAAATGAAATATAATCATTTTCAGCTATTTCAACAAACCATGCTCAGTATGGCTAAGCTAATGTTACTGCAATAGATTATTGCAAAATAGCTCATAATTAAATTAACAACATTTTCTTTTCAATTTCTATTAGGCTTGATTCTTTCTTCAAAATCAACAAATTGCATTTGGTATTAATGAAATTGTGAAACATGAATGATCTTAATTAGAGTAGAAAAAAAAGATGTTTAAGTAGAAAAAAAGTTACTCAAATTAAAAAGATAGATTTTATAATGTTGTTATTATCTTAGTTTGAATGATAAATGTTATTTAATTTTACTGAATTTAATGTATAACTTTTATCAATATATGTATATATATACACACTGGCTTATCACTGTACCCTTAATTTGAAATTTAAAGAAACTCCAATTGAGTGGAAAGTTTAACACAAAAGAATTATTCTAATTAGTCACAGCTCAACAAAGAAATTTTCAGATTAAGATTAAGCTATTTGAATCAGCACTTATCACTAGGCATATCATGAATGAATCACATAACTAAAAATTTCAGTTCTTTTCCTTTTTTTACAGAACATGTATTACGTAGAGTAATGGTGATAAATATATTATATAAACTATCTCCAACTGTCGACTCACACTTTATTTAGATGTTATCAAGTAACTTATTAAATAATTCTTTATCAACATTGAGTAATAAGTATTATCCATTTAATTATTGGACTGAAATTGTATAATCTCTGAGTACAATTTATTTTCAAAACTCATTGAAAAATAAATAGTCTCTACACATAACAACTACTCCATTGTTAATTGGTTCTGATTAGTAATATTCAATTGATCTTTTTGAGCTTATCTTGTTACAGCATCTGCTGTATATTAAAAAGATTAATTTTTCTGACAGTTTTTTCTCATTAATGAGAAAGAATTGTATTTATTATAACAATTATTTGAGTAAAATGTACAACGTTAAAGAAACTAGTTAAAAAAACAATAATAAAATTAATTACACTTTTTGTCATAACAAAAAGTTTATCACAACTCCGAAATTCCATATAGAAAGGGTCATTAAAATCGCGTTTTTGTTTAAAGCTAAAAATATAATCGACAGCTGTTGCACGGTCTTATATGACTTGACTTTTACATGAACTGGTCGGATAACGATAGTACGAAGGAAAAATTCATTGTTCAATGCTACTAAGTTTTAAAAAAGCTCGGCCGGGAAAACAAGTACAAGAGATTTATTTCCCCTACACATGTATTTGATGCGTTATCTCGTGCGCGCTGCCAATACCCGTAGCTGCATAAACAAATATACCCACACATACACACACAAACGTTTCCCTTGAGAAAAAAAATAAACAGAATTTCGTGTTTGCAATTGAATACTGTGGAAAGAAGGCGCGGCCTCGCGCGAGCAGCATATAGCACGTTGCACCGAAAAAAATCTTCTCCGATGCCGTCATCGATAAAATAACTCCGGTTCTTACACGTAGCACAGCACTGAGGACACTCGGTATTCCAGACACTCTCTTGAATACATGCATGCGTTCAGTGAGTAGCGAGGGTGGCGGTATGTAGACGCTGCCAGTCATCAAAAGTAAACAAACTAACTCACATAATGCTTTTCTCAACGGTGTAGTCGTTTTTCCATCAAGCAAACACCAATTGTTGACTCCTCCCTCGGCCTTAGCTGCTGATTTCCCCGGGTGTTTTTTTGCTCTTTTGTATTGGCGATTAATTTATTTTATACAGCACGGCAGCATCGCCGGACTCCTACGCCAACACGGCGACGACTGAGAGAAGTAATATATATATCGTAACCGCGAGACGCAAGGAGAGAGAAAAGGCGCGCCGCTACGGACGATCGTTAATGCAGATATCTACTTTGATGAATTACACCTATATATAGTTACATGCGGAAATTTCTACGCGCGCGTTCCATTATTTTTATAATATAGATCCGCTTACTGGTCATTCGGAATATTTGAATTATTGACGTAAATCTTTTTTATATTTGCTACTATTTGTTACTGTGAGCATCGAAATAATTTAGAGTCATCGAAGATATTTATTCGCAAATTATGAGATAAGTATGGAAATCATTAAAATAATTGTTAGAAAAATCCCTAACTATAAATTTATTATTTATATATGACTGTAAATAACTTTATAGAATTTGGAAATCTAAAGAGTAAAATATCCACTTTTATATGTGTATATATATATATATATGTGTGTGTGGATTTTGTCTTAAAGAAAATGCCAAGCAAATCTTGATTATGCATATATTTTTTATAAACTATAAACAATTTTAAAAGATGTAGAAAAAAATAGATCCTTTGGATAGTCATAATCAGTATCAAATATAAATCTGTTACTGAAGATTATTGCGTAAAGAAAGTAAAAAATGGTGGAGTTAAACTTATGAATTAACTATTTGAATTAATGCAATTAAGTATCTTTTAAACATTTTTTTCAAAATGACATATTGATGAAATATTTTTAGATGATGTATTATATTAAATTTTTTTACAATATCGCAAATATTGAAAATATTGTTTACGAATTTTTACTTGCTAACAAAAGAAATAAATACATTTGAAGATCATAAATTAATTTTTAGATTCTATAACGTTAAGCCTTTTGATGGTTAAAATTTACTTCAGATCCTACATTATATGTATATATATAATATATTATATGTATGTCTATATATATCAAAGTATCACGACTTGCGTTTATTATCGGTATTATTTTAACGAACCGCACTCATTCGAAGCATTTGAATTTGGCGGATCGAGGCGATAGCGCAGTACTGCCCCCACGGAGAGGGCGGGATCATTTTTCACAGGACGTCGGCGCGGAACGAAACCCGAAGGGGAGAAAAGGAAAAGCACAAGCGGTATCGGTCGTTGTCGTGAACACTCGTGAATGTACGCGGGTGAAATGTCAACGAGTATATGTCGTTGTTGTCGCGACTGCTGAGTCGTATGTGCCTGTGTGTTGTTTTGTTTTAGTCCCTTGCGCGTGATATTATTAGTGAGACAAAGAAAGAGTATATCCTGTTGATTTCGTCGAGTGTTATATATCGCTAAGTGTGAAAGAAAGAATTTGTGTCCAATGAGAGGTGCAAGCATGTCGAAGAACAAGTTGAACTTGACCCTGCCTGCAGGCTCGATCGAGCCTGCTCCAGCGGTCTCACCTTCGCCGCCTGTGCCACCGACTTATGCTGCTTCTACTGCTATCGCCGCTGCTGCTGCTTCTGAACCATCAGTCATTCCAGAGTATGTCTTTTTTTATTTGCTATTGTTGCCTTCAAGGCCTTTTCAAGTTATATTGGTGTACGCGCTCAATGGAAAATCGATAACAGAGCTAGCTATAAAAAAAATTTTTTGCTCTTGTTGATTAGTTTTGATTGTTGCCACTTGAGTTTGATTCAAATGTTATAATCTGTTTGCTTAACAGTGGAGTTATGGGCAAAATAAACATTGACTCCATTCAGGAGAGATTAGAAGAATTGGGTATGGACGAGGAGCAAAGAAAGAGACTTGAAAGTTTCTTAGGGCAAAAGGAGAAAGTTGGTGAACTATGCGACGAGGACTTTGAGAAACTTGGTGAACTTGGTGCAGGTAATGGTGGTGTTGTTATGAAAGTTAGGCATAAAAAGTATGGACTTATCATGGCAAGAAAGGTAAAACACACTTGAATCATTTTGTATCTTCAATTGCAATATATACACTGATCTTTTATTGTTTTTCAGTTGATACATTTAGAAGTGAAACCTGCGATAAAGAAACAAATCATCAGAGAACTGAAAGTTCTTCATGAATGTAACTTTGCTCACATTGTTGGTTTTTATGGTGCTTTTTATAGGTATACTTATTCCTGCCATTCTATTACTTCTTTTTACATGAATGATTTTAGTTGGTAATTGTCGTTTGGTATCTTGTAGTGATGGAGAGATCAGCATTTGCATGGAATACATGGATGGTGGTTCTCTGGATCTTATATTAAAGAAGGCTGGTAGGATACCCGAGCCAATTTTAGGAACTATTACTTCAGCAGTAAGTGTCTTTTATTTTTCTAATAATATGTTTCTCTCTCAATGAAACCGCCTGGATAAGTTCTAATCCACCATCTCCTCAACTCGTCATATGTCCATAAAAATATTCCGAAAGGCAAGCAAGGCCAGTACCAATAATAATCCAGTGGCATAGTCTTCAATATTTTCTCCGTACCAGGCACATAAAGTAAGATACATGTTAAAGCAGCCTCGAAAACAAACGAAAAATTGAGTGTCCAATTTCCCATGCCTTGCTGGAAGATTGAGTTTCTCCTAGTTTTACACATAATCAAATCAATCATCTGAGTAATGACAATCGACAAAAAATATCCGGTTCTCGCCTCGTTCAACAGATCCATACGACTTTGATAATCCCAATTTTGACCATAAGAATCTTGGAGATCGTCGATTGCACGATCTTCCCAAGCGATACGCAAACCGAATAGATCACCTGGCAGGAAGCCATGATACATCAGTATGCTGAAGTACGTGCAGAATCCTGCCATCGATTGTGTCATACCAATCTGGCCGTACGTCATCGATATCAATCTTTTATTCACGAGCTTGTCGTATTGTGGATTCCTGGGTGCTCGCCGCATTATATCCGACTCGGCTTTCTCGTAAGCGAGTGCTACTGCTGGCAAAAGATCCGTGCCTATGTCAACACACAGCACTAATTCAATGACGAATGGCAACGGGATCGCAAATATTATACTTGCTAACATTGGTAGCATTTCTGGCACGCTCGAGGTTAGTGTGTAAGCAATGGATTTCTTCAGATTATCAAATATCAATCTGCCCTCCTCGATGCCTGTGACTATCGAAGCAAAATTGTCATCAAGTAGTATCATGTCAGCAGAGTTTTTAGCAACGTCCGAACCAGCGATTCCCATTGCAACTCCGATATCAGCTTTCTTCAACGCTGGAGAATCATTGACACCGTCCCCGGTGACAGCAACGATCTCTCCAAGTCTTTGGCAACTGTCGACAATCTGTAACTTCTGTTGAGGCGATGTTCTCGCGAAAACAATCTCCTCGTAGTTCCTGATGATATAATCTAACTCATCGTCGTTCATCTCTCTCAGCTCGGTGCCAGTCACAACGATAGCCTCGTCCTCGATGCTTGATTTGATACTTGTCGAGAACGATTTGTCCAGTACCATTGCTCTCTCATAACGTGTCTCGTGACCTTCACCGATTATACCAACTTTCTTGGCGATTGCTATTGCCGTCACTGGATGATCACCAGTGACCATGATTACCTTGATACCAGCTGTGCGACATTTGTGTACGGCTTCGTAGACGAACGGACGTGGTGGGTCTTGAAGACTTACGAGACCGACGAAACGGTAACCTGTCGTTGGGAAATTGTAGTTGTCCGGGCTGCTTGTGTTGAATTGGTAGTCTAATGAGTATGTTTCGGCTGTTGAAGGAAAGCGGAAATTGTCAACGGATCGAAGGAATCTTCCGATAACTCGTTAACAGTATGCGTTACCTGGCAGAACGTAATCGCAATAAGCCAACACTCTCTCCCCGAGCAAACCCATATCAAGGCAAGCTTTCCTCGAAGCATGCAAATCTTCAGGCAGCATATTCCGCGTGGTACCGTCGGTGGCTAAAATCTTGTCACAAAATTCCATTATCACCTCGGGTGCGCCCTTCATTATAATCACAAAGCCATTGATATGATCTTTGTGAATCGATAGTTGATATTTCGTCACCGAACTAAATGGAATTTCGGCGACTTTCGGATAAGCAGCTCTGTACGTTCTCGTCGGGTGTATGTGCTCGCAGAATTTCAAAATGCCTGTTCGCGCGTAGTTTTTTGTATTCTCGTGTCAATTTGCTTTTCGTCGGAAGTCAAGTTACTAGGTGGGAAAAAACAAAACGATAAATACCAGTTTCGGAAGCATCGCCGATGACCTCGCGATCCTCGATCAAGGTGTACTGCGCAGTTTCGGAATCGTCCTTGAACTCCGCCCTCAAACAGAGCGTGGCGTCTTTTATAAAAACGTTGAACGCCGGTTTCTCGAGCAACAAATCTCTCTCGACCCCCAGCATTGTGTTCGCAGGGAAATTGTTTCTCGTATTCCCCAACCAAGTGTTCGAAACTGTCATTTTGTTTTGCGTCAAAGTGCCAGTCTTGTCCGAGCAAATGGTCGAGGTGGACCCAAGTGTCTCAACGGCTTCGAGATTTTTTACCAAGCAATTCTTATCCGCCATTTTTTTGGCTGTCAGCGTTAGGCTTGTAGTGACGGTGATGAGTAAGACTTCGGGTACATTGGCGATGACGATACCCAAAAAATAGGTGAACGCTTTGATAATGTCACCCTCGACGATCAACGCCAAGAAGAAGAACACTACGCCGCAGACTATCGCCACGAAGACAATGAGATGAACGAAGTGTCGGATCTCTTTGGCAAGCGGCGTTTCGGTTTTAGCGAGATGAGTTGTGAGACCAGCCAGACGACCGATCATTGAGTTGTCACCGGTGGCTATAACGATACCACGACCGTTGCCTGCCACTGCGTATGAAGAGAAGAAGGCGACGTTCTTCGATTCTAAAGGATTGTTGTCGGTCGGATAGTCGACGCGAGTCCTCGGTTCGCTTTCGCCTGCGAAAACCAGAAACGAACCCGTGACTTTGCTGGCGCTTGGCTTCTGCCAAAGAGCTTCTCCCAAAGCGCCTACCTGTGATGCTCGAATTTTCCACTCGCAGCGCGTGACACTCGATGATTCTCGTATCCGCCGGGATCTTGTCGCCGAGCTTTATTTCGACGAGGTCGCCGACCACAACTTTCTCCGCAGGTAGCTGTATTCTCACGCCATCTCGAATGACAGTCGCCACGGTCGGTACCATCTTCTTGAAGCTCTCCATCACCTTGGTATTTTTGCTCTCTTGCGTGTAAGCGAATATGCCGGATATCAAGCATATCAGCACGATTATGGCGCCAAAATACTCGATGCCCTCCTCCTCGTAACCCAACAATTTCTCAACAGCATACAGTAAGAAGCACAGCAAAGCGCAAACCCACAGTAGAGCTGCGAAGCCGCCGTACATGCAACGTAAGAATTTCACGTATTCTGGCGTGATCCTCGGCGGCGATAAACTGTTAGGTCCGTTGATCTCTAACACTTTGGCTGCTTGCTCGCTGGTCAGTCCGAGCGTCAGGTGGGTGTTGAGTTTGTCGCAGAGACGCTGGATTGGGATGACGTGGTCGCGAGTTTCGGGCTCGTGGTAAAGATGCTCGATGTCTTCTTCGGTCCGACGACGAGATTGCACGTGACTCGCCGATGGACGCCGTGACACCAATGCGGGGATTTTATTGAGGATGTCTTTCGTCATTACGCGAGCTGATTAGGGTTAGAACTGACGTCTACTGGTGGCTTCTCTACAGTCTTCAATTGTTTTTCCAAATATTTTTATCCTTATCTTTGAACCTTCTTTTGTGCCGTATCCTTGGTCCTACCCCGCTTAAAAGCATAACCGAACTTCACTACTTCAGCTCGTTTAACAAAAGAAAACTCCGAGTAATCCAACTGTCGATCGCGTTCTCAATGCACGCTGATTTTTCCATTACTTCGGCAGGTTCTCAAGGGTCTAAGTTATTTGAGAGACAAGCACGCGATAATGCATCGCGACGTGAAGCCCAGTAATATTTTGGTGAACAGCGCGGGTGAGATTAAAATTTGTGACTTTGGCGTATCTGGGCAACTGATCGACTCCATGGCCAATTCATTTGTCGGCACGAGAAGTTACATGTCGGTAAGTGTCCATCGAAGGATAAACAATAATAACGCACGAAGCTCCATTGTTAATCTCTGATCGATTTACAAGCCGGAACGATTACAAGGCACGCACTACTCGGTGCAAAGTGACATATGGTCCTTAGGTTTGTCACTAGTTGAGATGGCCATTGGAATGTATCCAATACCGCCACCCGACGACAAGACCATCGCTGCGATATTCGGAAAGAGCCCTAGTGTCGTCGCTGCTACTGCCAATGATATCGCAGCAAACAATGCGGTTACGCCAACTAAATCACCGTCTCATAGTAAGTTGATTTCGCTCTTATTGGTTTTTGTATCGCGGCTATTGTGGAATGGTTTTATTCACGGCTAGTCTGTTTGGGACACTCAAAGGACGTACTAACCCGGAGAAATTCGAGTACCAGGGTACCCAGGGTAATGTACTTCTCTGTACTAATGTCGATTTAGATCTTATCATTCGAGCATGTGTTTAGATTCATTTGCTAAAAGTTTATAAAATTGCATAAGCATTGTCATTGCAATTATAACTCTTAAATGACACGCTAGAAATCGAGTTTTTTGTTCATTCATTTTTTTGACTTGAAAGAATTTTCCATGATTACAAGCTTTTCAATTTTTATTTCTAAGTAGATCGATGTTTTCTAGCGTCAAAAAGCACAATATTTATTTTTTTCAATTCTCAACAGATCCAGGTAGCCCAAGGCCAATGGCGATATTCGAGTTGTTGGATTATATTGTGAACGAACCGCCGCCGAAGCTACCGTCAGGAATTTTCAGTGACGAATTTACAGACTTTGTCAATCGCTGCTTGAAAAAGAATCCAGCTGAGAGAGCAGATTTGAAAACGCTTATGGTAAGTTTAAATCACAATGCCTTTGCGAAATCGACGCATATCATTCAACACATATTTATTTTTTTGATTCGCAGAACCATGATTGGATCAAGAAAGCCGAGTCAGAGAACGTGGATATCGCTGGTTGGGTATGTCGAACGATGGAGATACAACCAACCACTCCAACACGCTTAGCGAACGTACAATCCTGAATAAATGTTACTCTTACATACTTGACCACTTGCATTCACGTTCAGTACTCTTGAATTGCGTTTTAGTTGAGCTTTTAAGTTGATAATCGCATTACACTATCATTGATGCAGTGGCGATTTATTTATCATTTATTTATGTCCTTTTCTTTTTCTTTGATCTATCGATGATATATTAATTATATAAGAGAATAAATCACGTGATAATACTGCGGCGATTAAAGTATATGTTTAACAAATAAAAAAATTGAGCTGTGTCGGGAAATGGTTTGGTAGAGAGAGAGAGAGAGAGAGAGAGAGAGAGAGAGAGAGAGAGAGAGAGAGAGAGAGAGAATTGAATTTGCTTTATTTGTCATGGGATGTTACCCTGTAGGCTTAGGGGATGAAAGAGGGAGAGAGAGAAAAATGTCAATTTATTTCGATGATTCAGATACTAAATAGATAGGTCTCAATATCTTATTCATTTGCTCCTCGTATGTGTATATATATACAAAAAACAAGTGTCAAATTTCATAGATTAAAAAATCAATTCAAACGTATGGTAAAGCTGCATTTGCACGAGAGAGAGAGAGAGAGAGAGAGAGAGAGAGAGAGAGAGAGAGAGAGAGAGAGAGAGAGAGAGAGAGAAAGAGAGAGAGAGTGAGTGAGCAAGAGGGGGGTTACTATCTTTACCAAAATATTTTCTATATATGTATTTATATATAGAGAATATTTTTATGTATGTACATATATATTTACTGTCGATGAAACGTCTAGCTCGCCACTGAATTTTTTAGTTTCTGTATACGAATTCTTTTCAGTTGATCGATTTAGTGTATGATTTTCATTTCAAAGTATGTAAGACAAATCGTTCTAGAAACACTCATATATAGTTGATATTGAATTGTACAAGAACAATTTCTTCATTGAAAATGATGTCAAGAAAACAAAAGAATAATAATAGACTCGAAGATTAATATGATAAATCTGATGAGATCTTCGTCGTTCAACCCCATCCAGCATTAAAGGCATTAAATGCATACGTTGTAATGCATTGTTTTTGTGAGATTTGTACCTGAATGCTGTATAGTCTAAGCTTCGAGTCGTCGACGGAAAAATAAAAAAAGAACTATAATCAATATCTTTTCTTCTGTTATAGTCACTCTCTGTACACGATAAACAAGTGCTAGACATTTTTTCGTCATGGGCAAATAATTATATTGAAAAAAAAACGACGAACTTATTAAGCACATTTTACAAAGGACTGACTACAAACAAAAAAATACTTGTGCAAAGCATCTACGCGAGTTTTAGCCATAATGTGTAGCATGTTCGATATATTTCTGCCATATACTTAAATGTACGAAGTATGTAGAAAGAGGAGGAAACAATTGTTCTTTTTATTTAATATTTTTGAGGAAACAAAATAGTATTTAAAGTATTTTCTTTTTCATGTCAAATTGTGAAATTGTAATAAACTTTTTTCGGATATTTAATGATCATTGAAAATTCGTTTTATTGTGAAGTATGATTGAAATTTCGAAACTGCAGTAACAAAGAAGAAAATAACTTGTCTCAAAAACTTCAAAAATACCCGTGCTACACAGAATAGTAGAAATATTCAATGGAGAAGACTTTGACTTGTAGAATTAACTGCTTTACTCTCTAAGATTTTTGCGATAATACGTTGTATTATGTGTTATTATCGCACTAATTGTTCATACATGTTGAAATGCATCATTCTATAATCAAAAGTTAACTACAAGTTGACTTCAGCAGTATGTTGTTACATAAAGTATTTGTGAGACATTTTATTGGTGAAGGTAGAGAGAAAAAAATAATAATGAAAAATAATGAAATGTTACTATTATTAAGCGACTGGTCGATAAATTATAATTATACGAACTGTATACTGAGGTATAAAATTTTTTGCTTACTTGTAAACTAATGAGAAATGCAAAGTTAGTTTAATTGTTGAATTTTGTAAATTTGATATACAAGGTGATATGAAACATTTTAACTTCAGTTTGTTCTGTAAATTGATATTTAAAAAAGTGATTTTATATTTTTGCTAGTCTACTTCTCTATAATTGGTAAATACTTGAATTTATACTTTTGTTCAACTGAGAAACACTCATAATGTTTTTTTTGTAATAATTTTGTTGCATAATTTTGTCACAGCTTAAGATTAATATCATTTTATTTTGAAAACATAATAAAAATGAAAGTTTTTTAGATTTTTGTTTGTGACAAAAAAAATTTATGAGGGAAATTTGCAATCTACTTTGATTGAGTGCTCATCCTCACAAATATACCTCGGAGTGGTAGATGTCTAAGAACTGATTTTTACAGAACTTTTATCTCTTGTAAACGTCTAGATATCATATGATATTGTACTTTTACTTAATAAAAATTTTGCTGGGTTCAAAATGATAACAAAAAACTAGGTAGAACAAAAGGAAAAAAGAAGCACCTAGGAAAAATTATGTGTTGAATTATGACAATTTTATTAAGAATTACTTGAAAAAGTTTTCACTTAATACGGTTTTGCCATAAATAGAGTGAATTTTAGGATTTTTTATTAATTAACATCTATTGCAATTACGCTCGTACATTTTTTTCGGGAAATAATTCCAAGTAGTTCAATTTAGAAAAAAATAAAGAGAAAAGTCATTAATGTTGACATTAAAAATCATGCACATATTCCTAGGTGTAAAACACTGCATTTTTTGTAGATTGTGTCAATACATCGTTTAAATTTCATGAGAGTGTATACCGAAATTTTGTTGCAGCAACTTATTAATTTTCAATGTAAATACACGCACGCAACTTTCATCTTTGAAATTACTACGGTTTAGCGTACATCATTTATGAAATTAAGCATGTCTTGACAGGTGAACATATGGAAGTTGTGCCATTATGAAGAACTTTCTTTCTTGAAAATTCATCTTATTTTTTCCTGTATTAATTTTGTTAAATTTCAAATTACTGTAAAATGATGAAATAAATAAAAACAAATACAACAAATGGCAACCTCGAAATTTTTCGTTCTTCAATCTAGTTTTGCAATTTCATTCCTGAGTAAAATTCATTGGTTTAATGTAGAACCAATTTCATCCTAATTATATCATTTAGCAAATTTATTTTCGACTTTTTATAATATAATTTGGGTTCTAGGGCACGTTTAACACAAGAGACGCGAATTTTGTTGTAAATTTTACCTGAAAACGTTTTCATTTCGTTCTACAGCCTTATAATATTATGTATAAAATTACGATCTAAAAACGTAAAATACATTTCCAATTTTAAATGGCTGCTTTGGGAGTTTTCATCCTTAAGAATATAATTTTCTCCAAAAATAGGATCCAATGTTGAAATGGGATTATACGGAAGGACCTTATTACACACAACTACATCGTTGGTAAAGTTGTGATGTTGATTACGTAACTCATAGATTATCTGCAATGCTTGTGACAAATGGCAAATCCATATTAGATCGTAATATGGAAAATGTTTTAGCTTCTCCTCCAGTCCTCAATTCGTTTGCATCATGAAATGTGTTTAAACAATCATATTTTAATTAAAATAAAATCTGTTATTATTCATTTAGGAGCTTGAAAGTACTTGGCAGACCATTCTCCACAATTACTCACATTAAAATAAATTTACATCAGCTGCTTGATAAATATTTCCAAAGATATACTTTTTCAATTAATGATATTGCCATTTTTTTAGTACATGTTTATCAACCATTCAAAAGTAATATCAAAACAGGTGTGTTAAGTAGGTGTGTACTTTTTTGTACGACGTTTATTACTGCAAATGAATTTAATTCTCATTATGTTCTCATCATTTAATAATTGGTTGATTTAATAATTGGTAAATAGCAAGATCTTCAATGTGCGTTATAAATATCAATTAATGTTTAAATTGTTGGATAAGCGGAAAATAACATAATGAAAATTATACTGATGAAAAAGTTCTTTTATTATGAGAAAACAAAATTTTTTAGCGTATTCATTTTTAAGAAATACAAGAAAACAAAATAAATAATAATATTAGTAAAACGTTGATAATTCCTGTTGATTTCATTTCTAATTAATTTTCGTAGATTTCAAATGTTCCAAATTATGTGAAAGTATCGCCCCTATCATCCTGCTCTTTACTATTCCTTATATTCTGTATTATATTTTTTGTATTAAAAAGATGTTGAGTCGGATATTTATATTTCAGTCGTAAATTCATTTCATTAAATTGATATGAAGAAAGAAGAAAATTTCTGAAAATAATCAAGTATAAGATATGCAGTGCATAAATCGTTTTACAGAAATTCGAGGCTTTGTTTTAAAATTATACTGGTTATTTTAATGATCACAAAACCATAATTATATTTCTATATAGAAAATTGAGATGAATATTATTGTCTTGTACTTTTTTTGAAAGAAAGTAAAAGAATAAAATAAAATGCAAGCAAAATTAAATAACTTTATAGCTATATATTTGATCACGAGGAACTTTCTACATAAGGAGGCATCGGACGTCAGACATCGACCATCAGATATTTATCATGGTGAAGATAGTTAAATGATATGTTATTGTACTAATAATGTTAATATATTAGATCTACACTGTTTATCGTTGCTGGCACCCTGCGCAATCATGGACACATCCAAATATTAAACAAATAATTTGTTTGTTAATTTGATAATCTTGGTACACGTCCGATATCCGTTGTCTGATGTCTCATTATGTAAAAAGCCTCTGCGAGATGTGCGGATAGCAGAAACTTATCAGAATATTAAACTATATTATATTTGAAGCATTTTAAAAAGTATTATGAATTTTTTAAAATATTCAAATTATTTATTTATTAATAACATTTAAGACTAAGGCTACCTAAAGCTTCTAATATTGACTTAGATTAAGATATTTTATGAACCGTAGATTTACTAAAACTTTAAATATTTTCCAATATATCTTGGAATGATTAAAAGTTCATTAACTATTGTCAAATGGTGCTTGTGGAATGATTATTAAATTTTTATGTACCAATGAATACGAATAGTTATCGATTTTTTTAATTGCATCATTTATTCATGCGCGCAATAGAATCTCAAAGTTGGCATGCAAAATAAAGGATTAATTAATGCAAAGAATATTATAATAACGAAAAAAGAGAATACGCTATACAAGGCTAGTTTACATAAATAATATGTTATTTAACCAAACAAAAAATCTCTTTGCAAATAGTGTATATACTTTAACATGCAAGAACAATGCAAGAAAAATTTCATTAAAAAAGTTACAATTCTAAATTTTTATAAAAAAAAGAACATCTTAATTAATTTAAAAAAATGTAGTAAAAAAGAGGGCCAATAGAACAGAGCTTAATACATATCGAACAAATCATCAAAACGGATATCGTGGTATCGCGACGCAAGTTCATAATCGTTGAACAGATCGGCATAATCAATGTATTCATCCATGGAATCGTAATCATAATCGTCATATAAGTCCATGTACGAGTCATCAAATTCATCTGCGCCTGCCTCATTAGCAAAGATAAACGCATGATCAAAATCTGGACGTAGGGAATCATCGGAAAGATCGACGTTGAGTACACTCAAAAACGGCGAGATCGCAGAAATCTCACTGAATTTCACATTCGTATTACCGGCATATATCTTAAGCAAGATATTGTTTGTGCGCTTGAGAGTTACTTTGATGGCAGCTTCGATAAAATCATTTGACACGAGATCGCATCCCGATATATCTAAAAGCTCGACGTTTTTAGATTCTTCAATGAGGGTACAAAGACCAGTGTTTTGTAAGCTTGGACAGCCACGACATACTAATGTACGTAAATTGGGTATGTCCGTAAGTACTTCATCTGTCACTTTGCCCAGGTAGCTGATGTTCAAATGTTCTAATTTCGGGAGGTGAGTAATTCCTGCCAGACCTGCGTTCGATACCGACTGGCAAGCTGCAAGAGTTAGATAAACAATAACTTAATCGCATCAATCCAGATGTATCATATGCTAAGACATATTTGAATGTACTTACAACTGATATCTACGTTTTTCAACAATTTACAGTGGTTTCCAACAGCAATCAAACATTCGTCCGAGACACATGCATTCCTAGATAAGTCTAGGACTTCAAGATTGACTAGTACGGATATTCGCGTTAAAGATCTTCCGCTCATTACTGGGAAGTATTCACGTAAGTGTAGCTCTTTTAGAGTATCGGCACAGAGAGCAATAACTTCGACGGTTTGATCGTCGAAATTGACGCAATTATCCAACGATAGGTAGCGTAAATTCTTGAACGTTTCTATTGCCTGCAACAATGAAAATTCAAACGTTACACACACATTTATACGCACTCAGATTGTAGTTGTGAAAGATATTACATACTTTGCAAAAATGGCGTGGAGATACGTTGGAGCACTCGCCTATCGAGATGGCTTCAATAGTTTCAGGTAAACTCATTAGACTTTTACCATTGATAAAGTTCTTGAAGATTTTCACACGTCGTAGTTTTTTGTTATTTGAAAACAAAAGTGACAAATCAGGATCACATTGTGACGAACAAGGTCCCAAATTGAATTCTACAATGTTACTGCAACTTGCTGTTAGAGATTTTATTCCTGCCGGTGAGACACCGAGACCGGTTATATCGATGTATAGCAGATTCGGACAAAATCTGGCAATCACTGTGAGTGTGCTTTTGCTCAACTTCTCAGCGAAATTCGATAAGTCTATGTGCGTTAAAAATTGTCCACATCTGAGTAAAGCTTTGCGAAGACTCGATGTGTAAATTTCTCTTGGTCCTTGATTGGACAATGTGAAGCCCCATGTGGCTTGTGTGAGGTCTAGTTTCTTGAATGTACGCCATGACGATTGACTCACTACTTTCCATCTTTTACATACTGCAACAAAAGTCATATTTAAATCAAGTGTTAATGATGGAACTGCTGTTATATAAAAAATAATTGTTTGACATACCTCTTTCAATTTTCACTCTATCAGCTATAGGAAGAAAGGAAAAGATATGCATCAAACAATCATCGTTCAGTTTATGAATCAGTGCATCTTCATTGAGTTCAAATTCGGTGGACATTTCTTGGTTTGATTCTACAGATTTGAGTATTTTCTTTAGTTTATTTTCAACGTTGTCTGGTTGATGCCATGAATCAGCTGGCATAACCCTTAAATCTCGACTGTGCAGATTGATCATTTTTCTCTGCCCATCTTTTGTTGCTCTAACAATTAAAGATCCAATGTTTAATTAAATAACAAATGGAACTGATTTTTATTAAAATTTAATAATTTATTACTCACTTCAAAGCATCATCCATACTGCTGAATGTGACAAATGCATAATTACTCTTACCACTGTTCTTCTTCAAATAGCAACCATCTAATTTACCATATTTGGAAAATACCTTTTCCAAATCTTTGTGCTTCGACTGAAAAATAAAGTAACTTCTGAAATTTTCTAGTAAATGATGAAATGTTAAGATTTTGTATATTAACTCACTCTTTGTGCTATGTTGCCAACAAAGAGTTTTCTTATTGGCACATTATCAACGGTGTATGGTTTCAAATCATCAATTGAATTTTCAGCAGCATAATCATCTAAAAATGTATCAATAAAATCAATGAAATTATTCATCAATAAAATTCAGTAAGGAGAAAAACATGCAGAAAACGATTATGTTTTCGATGAATATGATACAATTAGGACAAACCATGTGCGTTCAAGGTCCATATTCTCTGTAATATGTTGCACAGGCCTCTGTCTATTTCATCTTCCATCTTACTAGAAGTCTGTGCGTTGCGGGAACCCGCGTGAGCACGGATGGATCGTTATGCTTTTATATGATGAAAAAGACTGACAAATCAATTCAGAATCAAAATAAAAATCCTCTTCTGCTACAGATAATCATCTCCACAACGATGCTTGGACAGAAAAACAAGATTGCAAGACATCAGGGAAGAACAGTATAACTTTTAAGGTGTGTTAATAATAACCCAGAAGAAATTTGCAAACAACTCAAGCACAAACGATGCGGGTATACGTAATGAAGTCTTGCACGACGTCGACGAAGTTGTGGCCGAATGCGTTTTCGTAATTCAACTTAAACTCTGGTTGTCATCCACTTTTAGGGTCGAGGCAAGATTGAGAATAAGACGCACGTAAACAAGAGACCCTATAGTAAAATATTTCACAGAGCCATCTACTTTTCAAATTGGTTGCTACACGACTCAGCACCACTCACCAGTCACCAGTCACCACTTACCTATCACCTATCACCGGCTTTGGCACGTTACACATGTGTCCGCCGTTCAACAATATAACTTCGTGGGTGGGGACAATAGTGCACGACTTTAACCTGGCCTTGAACTACCTAAACAGATGTCTGCGTGCAACAAACCGCGATAACTTGGAGCTGTGTGTCTGTGTATATACGGCTGAACAAATAAATATACCTTTTTAAATATATAGAATGAATCTCAATAATTTCTTGTTTAATCTTGTTTAATAAAAAAATCAAGTCATTTTTAGTAATTTTTTAACATCGCTTATATACAATCTCATATATATTTTAAAATCAATGTCGATGAGTTGAATTTAATTAAATTAGGAACGTTCGAAAAAATGATAATATTGGCATTCTTTAAGCATAATAGGCGTTTTTAATGCTTATTTGAAGTTTACAAGGATTATTTTTGTTTACAAAAATATGAAAAATATTTTGAATGCTTGTTCAAAAATTGATAATAAAACAGAAAACTTATATAGCCACTAAAAAATAAATTGCAATTTACATTTTCGGGTTTTAAGTAAGATTTCCGCGTGAAACATAACTCACTTGTTTATTAAAATATTTATAAAATAAAAAAAGTCATAAATAATCGTAAACTAACTCGAAACCATTTCTTTTATCCATACCGTTTTCAAAATTAAAGTTAAGAATGACGTTTAATACTGCAGCCCAACGTTATGGTCGCAGAGCAACTCAAACTTGAGAAGAGCGAACTAAAGCGGTTCAGCGATTACGAACGCAAGAAATTTGAATATGTAATACTACTTTTAAGACAAGCAATTTTGATTGTTCTCTTGCCACTTTTTTATATCGAGTATCGAGGTCGTGAAAACAGGAAATTATGTCAGTGTGTTGTTTCATTGTCTCGAAATTCACTATATCGTATATTGTACTAAATTCGTTCAGGGCGTTCGAAAGATGATTCTGGAATTCACATTAAATTTGTTTTAATTTGGAAGCATAATACAATTCGTTCGCGATAATTGAATTATCCGAGCGATGAATCTAGAAATTATATTAAATTAATTAAACTGGTTTATAATTGTAATTATAATTTTTTTAAAGAAAAAATTCAAACTATAACTACTTTTAAAGACCAAGCTTTGTATAATAAAATCGATATTTAAAGTTAAATAAACGACTACTGAAACGTAGATTTTTATTCCCCTAAAACTTTTTTTAAGATTTTTAGAGTAATAATAAAATCGTGCAAAATTCTTTTTATGCGGTAAATTTTTTAATTATTTTAGCGATTGAAAATTGTAATAATTCCCGTAAGTCATAATATTTATCTCTTCAAAGTAAAAAATACTATGTAGTCATATAAATAACGAATTCGAAAGAGTGCAATTATAATGATGAATAAAATGTTGAATTTGTTTGTAGGAAATGACGTGCAATTTATTGCATTCATAAATTTAAAATTGATAAAAGTATAACAATTTATATTACATCAAATGTAAATGCGTGTATCTATTTCACTTGAAAAAGAAAAAGTTAATGAGAACTTACTCAAACGACAAGCTCATACAAATAATCGGGAACATAAAGATAAATTATATACACCTGCCAAACTGAGAACTGCATTGTCGAACTCGAGTAACAGGAACTAAACAGTCTTCGTTAGCTCCGAAATCATCATTGTTGTCTCGACCTTATTTAATGTTGTGTCCATTTGATAGTCTTCAAGTCGATACCATCGCACACCATTTCCCACAAAGGACTCATTTCCCGTAATCGTATCACGTGTTTGACGGTGTTCTCGATTGTATAATCAATTTCTTCAACTGTCGTGAATCGTCCGATGCCGAATCTTATACTCGAATGAGCTAAATCTTCTGACGCACCGATCGCTCTCAACACGTAACTTGGCTCTAAACTTGCACTTGTGCATGCCGACCCACTGCTTAGAGCAATATCTTTTAAAGCCATGAGTAATGATTCTCCCTCGACATATGCAAATGACAAATTTGCACATCCTGGATACCAGGAAACTGGATCTCCGTTTCGAATAACGTGCGTTAGTTGAGACATAATGCCATTTATTAAACGGTTGCTAAGTTTTGTGATATATTCGTGATCGTACTCCATTTCACTGTTTGCAAGCTCGCAAGCTGCTCCAATTCCAACAGCTAATGGAGCAGGAACTGTTCCACTGAAATGTTATATCAAAGTTTATGCAAAATGAAATTCTTGTCATGAACATTCAGTCAAATAAAGATAATCCTACCTTCTCATTCCTCTTTCCTGTCCACCTCCACTCTGCACTGGCTCCAAACGAACTCTAGGCCTTCTCCTAACATACAATGCTCCAATCCCTTTAGGACCATATATTTTGTGTCCACTTATTGACATAAGATCTATATTCATTTTATTAACATCTATAGGTATTTTGCCAACAGCTTGGGCAGCATCAGTATGGAAAAAAACTTTTTTCTTTCTGCAGATAGCACCTATTTCATTAATGGGTTGTCTCACTCCAATTTCATTGTTCACTGTCATTACAGAAACTAAGGTAGTTTCAGGTCTTATCGTAGCTTCTAAATCTGCTAGATTAATAAGGCCATTGGGCATCACTGGTAGATAAGTAACTTTGAAACCTTCGCTTTGTAAATATCTACAAGAATCTAGAACACATTTATGCTCTGTTTGAGTTGTAATTATATGATTCTTTTTTTCTTTGTAAAATTTAGCAACCCCCTTTATTGCTATGTTATTACACTCTGTTGCTCCAGAGGTGAAAATAATTTCTTTTGGATTAGCTCCTATCAGGTCAGCAATCTGTTGTCGAGCATGTTCTACAGCAGCCTCTGTTTCCCAACCATACATGTGTGTTCTAGAGTGAGGATTTCCTTGGTACGAAATTAAGTAAGGCATCATTTTATCTAGAACTCTAGGATCTATTGGTGTTGTAGCTTGAGCATCAAGATACAGTGCTCGTCCTAATGACGGTGATGTAGCTTGTACTTTTTCTACATCTGTACTAGTTAGAGAAATATCAACTTGGTGAAGCATCGAAGTGTGAAGTGCCCTGCATTTCTTTGAATGTAAATGTCTTGAAAGAAGTGTTTTTGCTGAACACATCATTTTGTAAACTGAATTTTATTTAATAAGTGAAGAGCTCAATTAAGACTGAATAATTTAATTATTCTATGTCATACTATAAATCCACAAGTTCATTCATCGTTGGATCCTAGAAAAAACATACAGGTACAAATAATGAGCAGTCAATTGTCAAACAAAAATATTTCGCGAAATAAGTATTTATTTGAAATGAATGATATATATTACTGATTTTTGTGGATAACATAATATCGCAAACTAATTATCAGCATTAATGTCTTTAAATGAGCGAACATTTAAATAAAAACAAATCTAACCTGAGTTTTACGATCTTAATATGTGTTGTTTAAGTCTACCTCGAAAACAGTTAATTAAAAAATGTCTGTCAGATGGTTGAGTTATATTAAACCTGCATGCGATTGCTAATTTCGCTACCATTAACAAATAATGTGCAACTTTGTCGGCAAGCGAAATTATAGAGCTGCCTTGTTACGTCAATGTGCTTCTGTGACTGTCACTTACATAAATTGTTTACTGTCGAATTTGTAACAAAGTATGAAAAATAAATTATTTTTTTCAAGTTATTTTACTGCAATTTTTATTGTATTTAGTGGATCGTATTCTATTCTATAATTGAAATGTTTCCATAACTTGAAAAACTAAATATCCATAATTACACCAAAATCAAAGACGAAGCATAAAAATGACCATCAATGAACATTTTTTAAATGAATTTAAATCATAAGTGGCAAACACAAATAAAAAAATTAACTTTTTAGTTAATAATATTTATTTGTTTGGGACTTGAACATATTTTTGATAACTTGACGGAAATAAATAAATTCGTAATTGTATATATATAATTGTACAAAAAGATTATATATTGGAAATCGAAGGTCTCTGTTTAGTCACTGTCCATTTGCTCTTCGACATCCTCTTGCAGAATGTTATAAATCTTCTCACCTACGAATTGGTAATATTCAGACCTGGATGTAGCCGCTTCAAACAGTTCGCATTCGACTTTTTCCGCAAATACAGTTAAGTTTCTCATCGAATTTTGTTCATCAACGCTTTCAAGGTCACATCCGGGAACTATAGATTGAACTAATTTTTTTGCAATTTGTTTTCGAATCTCGCCAGTGACACTATCTCGCCACGATTGTCTTTTTGTATCCCTTTGTCTTTGGATTTCACAGATTTGATTAGACAACAAATGATAATACTCAGTTTTTGAAATTGCCGCTTCAAACACATCATTTTCCACTTTCTTCGCATATTCTAGAGATTGGTGTTGACTGGTTTCCGAACAACTAATTATTTCGAATAATTTGGTGGTGAGCTGCATTCTAATTTCAGGAGTGACAGTTTCGCGCCAAGTTGTCTGTTGTAATGACGTTGCCGATACTTCCACAGATGATATTGATTGTTCATTTAGGTTCAACTCTGAGAGTTGCTGTTCGATCGCTGTTCTTGTAGATTCGGCCATTGTCCTGATTATTATTTCTTATTGTACGCGCACTCTACGCATTATTGCTGCAATGAATCTCCGTTAAATGAGTGATGCAGCGCCCGAAACTTATATTAATTTACAGCGTTGCCATGTATATATAGCTGATAAGATCCTATTCCGGAGCGTCCGGTTATCTAAATTCATATTTTCGAGTTTTCGAGTTCACGTGGTTCGTTTTCAGAAGCAAACGTTCACCGCTCGTAATTCGAAAAACTTATAATTCCGATATAGTTTCATTGAACAAACAGAAATTAAAAAAAAAAACGCTGCAAATATAAGTATGAAAAATTATTATAGTAAAATATATAAATGATCCGCCACGTAAACAGTGATATAAATCAAATCCAGACTTAATTTAGGTTTGCATTTGATGTACGTAAAACAAAAAAGAATTTATAAGGTGGTATCCAACAACTTGATTATGATATTAAAATTTTAAATCATTTTTTTCGAGTACTTATATGTCAATATAAATACGATTTGATTTTTATTTTAAAAAGATTAAGTTACCATGGAATTTTATATTACCGCCCATTGGGCAATGCCCAATAAGCCGAGTAGAGAGTTAAGGTAAAATATTGTTTTGGTCTATGGCTATTTCATTGTAGTCGTAGACAGACTTTTCTTTTTTTTAACTTGGTCAATTGAACTGCCTATCTTAGTAGCCGCTTGAAGATGGTTTGTATGTTTTGACAGGTACATCGGGCGCCAAACGTAACGTGCGTCGCGCATTGGCGGATAGATGTGGGGCTTACGACGAGCTGCAGGTGCGACTGGATTGACCGATGAATCAACTACTACTAATCCTTGGAACCGCTGCTGAATTGACGCCATCGCGCTCTCACCGACGCTACTCGTCGCTATCGCGTTAGGGTCAGTCGTCGGATCCACGGAATCCACGGATTTTACTTTGTTCCGATGTTTTACAGTCGTCGTAACTATAGTGCATTATTACGTCCAGTGGATAGATCACGCGCGACGTCGGTCAAACTGTTCCAGCTAGGTGACCGTACGCTTGCCTACTTTTGGGCGTTCACGTATATTTACATATACATGTGCGTATATCTGTACGTTGCCGTGCAGCTTGTTTTTGGAGCTTGTCGAGGCAGATCGCACCAATCCAAAATGCCACACTGCAGCGAGCGCTCAATTTGAACGCGATATTGTCTTACTATTACAGGTTTTTCAAGCAAATTACAAATTGTTTACTTGTGCAAGCTACATTTTCTACTGTTCGGATGCATATAGTCTTATCGCAGATTTAAAGTGTGCGTCGATTTTTACGAGCTGAAAAATTGTCTCTGAATGTTTCATATTTCTTATTCTGACAACTCTTCTTATTTCGTAACATTGTGTGCGTTTCTATCTATGTAAGTTTCAGTATTTGCTATACATCTATCGGCAAGTGTACAAATATTTAATGACCGGCTGATAAGTCGAATAAAGTACAAGTTTTTTATTATACGATCAAGCTATATGATAAAAGCTAAAGATATACAATTATGTCGTGATACAATGTGTTCGACTGTTCGTCGACCATAATCTTTAATCCTGAATATATGGCTTGTTCCGGGCCACTTAACGGGAGCAATGACCAATAAAAATTTTCTTCGTATCTTGTGTAGTCATTCGTTAAATATAATCATAAACTAAATATGTCGATGACGCCTGTCACGAAACTCAAACGCTCAAGCTTGCAAATATTACCTATCTACAGTACGTCATAACGATTGGCTCACACCTTTTACTTTTGCGTGCGTGTATAGCTATGTTGCGTTGAGCGATTGTCATGTAATCAAGCATCACCTTCAGCCTCCGGCTATAGAGCGGCGATTAGTTAATAATATTACAGGTTCCGCTTAGAAAATGCGTTAACGTGAATAGTAGGCAGTGACTTTTATTGACTAAACTATTTTACATCATAAGACGGCAACTTGACTTGAACGTACGATATTTTGAAAGAACTGTTTTTTTTTGTGGTTGTATAAGCATGATTTATGACATTTTAATCGTGATTTTTCTTTTGAAAGGGATCGTAGCTTTACAATGTGAATTCCGTATGATTAAATTTTACCTAATAAGATCTTTTCGAAAATATAGTAAAATAATTGGCTGCATAGAATGACAATTTGAGGATGGTCCGCCACGTGAATTCCTTGACTGTACACCGAATATATTTGAGTTGTTGCTTGTGTATGCAGTCGGTACGCAATAAATAAGCTCGCCATGAAAAGCTTAAAGTTTGCCTGCTACAAGAGCTTCATTCTAATTACGAGGACGTTAGCGTTCCGCGAAGTCGTTCAAAACCATGCTCGTGAGCGTACAAAGCTTTTCGTGCTGCTCCATGTGTCGGCTGCATTTCGCCTCGATCCGCTTCTGAACGTCGGACACATGGTCGGCGAGCGAGCGCAGGTACTCCGACCTCGACTCGGCGGCTTTGAAGATGACGCGCTCGCGCCCCTTGAAAAATTCCACCACGGCCCGCAGCCTCTCGTCGAACACGGCTCGATATTGAAAGTCCTCGCCCACCGGATACACCGCGTCGATCATTCGGAGGAGCATGAAGCTGCGGAAGTCGTTGGTCACCACTCGCTGCCACTGCTTGTGCCTCTTCGCGCTCTTAACCGACATCGCTCCTAATAAGCTCGAAGCGCTTTTCATTATATCAGCTGTCGTCTTTTGGCAATTTTCATTGACGCCCCGCCGTTTTGTTTTGGCTTTCGCAGTCGGGACTTGAACCATTGCCATTATAATTCCGCTACCTCGCTGTGATTTTTTAGCAAGGAAATTCTAGCCGACTCGCAATTGCGATCTGCAAAATTGTATTTTCTTTTACGTTCGCATACAACTTTCGTTTATAAAATAATATAAGCTATTTTTATGAAAAACATTATTGTTTCTTGACAACAAAAATTCCGAGTTGTTTTTCAAATATCTGATTCATTTACGAGTGCAATAATTCAGTTTATTATTGAGAAAAAAAAGGATTTATGCTAACTGAACCTTTGTCTGGCAATAAGATAGACGAGAAAATAGATTGGATCATTTTACTTGAAAAACAGCCAATCAGAAAACTGAAATTAACGAATCAATGAATTTAATTTGTAATGATTCCGACTTAATCAGATTGATCCTTTATTTAAAAAATTCTAGAAAATTCGATAAATTGCAAATACCTCTTTGAGATAGTGTATTGTCAAACTATAATTTTCCAAGGAATTTTCTCTCGCTCCACAAGTAATTTGATTTCGACAGCTTATGTTAAATTTGCAAAGCTGCCCATTAAAAATAATCGTGTACGTACCATTCAGCATTCGCGGCTAATAGTAACTTCAGATCTGATTTGGCCAAGTGGCCACAAACGACAGACTTGCAAGCTCGCAAATTAGACGTCGCTTATAGTCTATTTATCTACCTCAGGCGCGCTTTGCCCCCTCTTTAGCAATATCGAATACGCAGCTTCCAAATTGACATTTAAATATAAAATAATTATGATACAAATCAAGGACAATTTGTTCAGATTTAAAAAGCTTCATTATGGTTTATGAAGCAATTTGATCAACTTCAATTTTACAAGATCGAACGAATATTTTTGAGATTGATTTCGAGCACTTAATAATAATTTTCTTTCAGTGCTCTATGAATTGCAATTAATATAAATTCGTCATACTACGCGAATCAAAAGGAAAATTATTTGTAATATATTTGCATTCACCTGCATTTTGTAGCTGATACTCGGGCGTTCAAAAAAATTATGACAATATTGCCATATAATTCACTTTTCGCACTCTCCAGGTGGATTAACGAAGACTCGTAATTTTATTACTAGCAAGCGGTGAAACAATATTGAAACTTGGGTAGCGTAATAAACGTACAAAATTAAGCCACAGTAGACCATACGGGAACGGGGATACTACCCTATAACCCTACCGAGGAATGTCCTCAGTGAAAGAAATCATTATTTAAATTGTGTTCGAAGCCTCTCGGCAGTCAAGCCAGTCTCACCTTCCAGCTTTGGAGAGCAGACGGAGCTTTAGTGGCGACTGCAACACTTTCTGCCATTCGACCGCATGTTTTTGTAGTCAGATACGTCTAATTACCAAATACCCGAGATTTGAATCTTTCCATCAGGAATCGCACTAAAATAAGGTCATGTATAAATTATGGCGACAACTGTTAATCGAGTGTACACCATCGCGAAGCGTATACCATCAAGGCTGATGTAGTTACTTCAAAAATATTTCCCGATAGGTGGTAGGCTTCCGAAAATAAAATTAATTGGACTAAGAAAAAAGTATCTCCTCTATGAGAAGGTGTTCGGTGAAGTACTTCAAATAAAAATCAACCATTCAATTGTAATAATAGTCACATTCCATTTTTAAATACTTGTATGGTTAACCAAATAACATTAAAATATGATACAAGGCTTTTGACTATAGAGAGCGAAAGAATATCTACGTGCTACTTCGCAAACATGCTGTGAGTCAAAAGCTTTTTTAAATAAAATATTGTCTTTGGACGTCAAATGATTATTTGATTGATTTATGAAAATATAGATAGTAATCGATCGAAGTTCAACATAACCGAAAGGTTGAATTACATATCTTTCGCGCTGCACATATGTAGTTTAACATGACAACAAAAATAATTTTGATCATCAATATTATATTACAATGATATTTGTTAATTATGTATTAAAATAACCAATTTATTACATATAGTATTGCAATTTATTGCCCACAGGCAACTGCCACTCATTGATTTCCGCATAAAAATAATTCTCCAGCATCCACATAATTGGAACGTCACTCCAGCGCGATTAAACTAGTTACCGGCAATAGAAACAGACAAGCAACAACAATTCAAGCTTAAACCTATCGCGCCCACGCATAAAACAGAAAAAAAAATGATCTCCGGCAACACAACGCTAACTCCATCTGTAGTCGTTTACCGACAACAGATGCACACGCACCTACCTAACGCCATATGACAAAAAAGAAAAAAAACGTTGTACTGCATCTGCACGAGAGCAAGAGAGAGAGAGAGAGAGAGAGACTAGAGAGCCTGCAGTGTAAGTACTACTTACTGAGTGCGGAGCAGCAGCAATTATCGCGGAAGGTGTGTTACTTATTATGGCGCATAGTGTCGTTCGTTTAAAGGAAGTTACAATTTAAAAAAGAGAACGAAATCATGTGGGAGAATTTGACGATCGAAAGTCTACAGCTGACCGAGACGGAGCACAGATATTACGGAGACATCTTCATCTACTGCTGTGAGAACGCCGACACTGAGCAAGTGTCCAGCCTCAAGGTCGGTGAGCTTCTCAGGTCGGCAAACTTGCCCAGCGACGTCACCCTCAAGGTTTGCATACTATACCACATTACAGAAGGAAAGCAAAGAAACGAATGCTTTGTTTACGTATTTATTGTTTTACAATAGAACGCGTCAATTTGTGTTTCATTGTAGGCCTTTATTTTTGGAGTTTTTTTTTACTCAGCACCTTATCGTTTACTTCGTAATGGTTTACTGAACTCGCGAAAAATTTGTTCGATTCGTAAAAAAGGCTCGTTCAATGAATGATCAAAAGAGAAAGTTTCAGACAAGGTGATTAACCTAAATTGTAATCACCTATTCTAAGTGAAAGAATCTAAAGTATGCAAATGTATATGCACATAATTTTTTAAGATTAACAAGCTGTCAGTTTATGCACATATTTTCATTCAATTTAACTGTATGTAAAAGTGTCAATAGGGTTTCTCATAGTTTATTATGTGAGATAGTCATTTGTATGATTCATTGAAAGTATATGTTTATTTTTTCAAGATAAGTTTTGATAATACTGTTGCTGCAGTATTTGATAACTTTTAATTGACGTTCTTTTCTAGCTGTGTTTATTGTTTCTTAATTGGACATATTGTGTTTTTGCTTGATATTGTGTTATTGCTAGAATCGCTTGATTAATAAATAAACTAGGCTAATAAAATTCTTACATCCACTATAATATTGTAGTTAGTATTCTTGGAAGAGTGAAATGAAATCTTTAAATTTGCAAACAAAATTATTTTTCTTACTGCATTATCATATTCACAGATTCTATTTCTTTGTGGTGGTGCTAAGAGTAACTACCTCAGCAGAAAGCAATTTTATGCAGCTTTGAAACTTGTAGCAGCATACCAAGCAGGTCTTGAAGTGCACAAAGACTTGATTGCCACAGCAGTGGACGAACTAGCATTGCCAAGATTCACTTGGCCTTCATCAGGTGATGAAGAGGACATCAAGAAAAAACCTTTTTCTGAAAAGACTTCAAAGAAAAGAACTAGTGGCCTCATACCTGAAAGTACAACAGGCAGTGAAAGTGAACCAGAATCTCCTAGGGAGACAGAAGCTGGCAGTACAGACTCACCCACTCCAACAAACAGTGTAACTCAAGAAAGAAACGATGGTGCTCTAGGTGGTGAAGCTAATTTGGATTCAGTGTCTGGTGGGTGGCAGAGCTTACTTGTCTCCGAAGAGCAGAGGCAGCTACTTGGCACCGAGGAGGAAAGTTCAGAACGTCATAGCAGTGATGATGGTAAGCCATTATTTTCTAATATAAAATACTTGTCTATATTTCAGGTAAAATTACGAATTGAAATGTATTTATTTGAAACAGGAGAAGGCGAAGACGGCGAAAGTTTTCCACCTGAAGCAGTCTGGACAATCAGCGACGAGCAACGCGAATACTACGCTGCACAATTCTCCACACTTCAATCGAACCCCGATGGTCTTCTTGCCGGTAGCTTAGCGCGCAAATTCTTTGAGAAATCTCGTTTGCCTGTGGAAGAGCTTCGTAAAATTTGGCAATTAGCGGACGTTACGCGTGACAGTGCTTTGAGTTTGCCCGAGTTTTACGTGGCGATGCATTTGGCGGTACTCCGGCGTAACCATGTTCCATTACCCGACGTATTACCACCCTCGTTAGCAATGCTACTCTTCAATCAACCAACGTCTCAGCAACAACAACAGCAACAACCGGCAGCAGCACCGCCTGTTGTTCCACCTGTACCAGCGCCCAGAGCTAGCCCGACTACTAGGTAAGATTGTTTACTCAGTTTGGTTGAAAAATAAATTGCTTTTCGATAATTTATTCAAGTAAACATTGTCTTTTTACATTTAGTTACATTTAATGGCACTTTGTTTAATGAAGTATAGCTATGGACGTACTTAAATCGATCGTTCTAACTACTGGTGTACATATAAACGCGTGAAATATTTTCAATTATCACAAACTCGTTAATCTGCAAAAGTTTCTTTTAGACATGTTTTCGAAGCGAACTTGTCATCCCTAATTATCATCCGAGCTACTAATTATATTATATTCTTCATCAGAGCGGCGGCAGCAGCAGCAGCGAACAATAAAGAAAAAAGCAAAGAATGGACAAAGTTCATAGATTCACCAACGGGTGCAAGTAGTAACGGTAATGGCAACTCGATCACAAGTCCCGGCCCGAAGCCGGTAAATTTTGATTTCCAAAAGTCAACCGTCGAGCGCGATCCGAAGATACTCCATCCAGTACCGTTACGATTGACTCCTGAGGCAGCAATTCTCGCGTCAAATGCCAATGGAAACAACGGTGTGGTACCTTTGCTTGGCGAGGACGACAACTCGTTGAGCGCCGGACTTGTTCATAGGCCACTCGCTAAAAAACCCGGACTACCACTGCCAGATGATACTGCGATATCCACACCCAAAAAGGAACCTCCACCCCCGCCACCCCCTAGGCCCTACAGGACACACACCAGGAGTTCCAGTCTCGATCTCAATAAACTTGGTATGTTAAATTTTTCGTTGATTTTTTCATTTAGTTTATAAATTATCGGCAGATTGTATAGTATTGGTTGAATGAGTAATATACGCGCTCATTTATATTCCCAAATAATAAAATAATGATTTATATAAAAAGTAACATTTAACCTATAAACACAAAATTATGTGTTTTTAAAAGCTATACATTGAATTTTCGTTTCAAAGTTCATAATGTATTGATGTTATCTCCGAGTTTCATATTTTGGCCGCTAGGTGGGTGTGTCGCTCATTATTAATTTGTAATTACCCACAAGTGTCCGAAAAATATTTCGATCTTTATATATACGCATCAGAATATTTATGGCACAATGGAAGTGATGTTCCTCTTATACACGTGTCGTCTACTCTGCACTGTGTGTGTGTCCGATACCTCTCAGAGAACCAAGTCTCTCTCTCTTACTCTCTCTCAGTTCCAAAAGGGACATTGCTGTAGAGGTGACTGCGACACACTTTTGTTATTATTATTTAATTTTTCCTGTCCATGGGTCTGAAATGTTTGAAAATTATGTTTTTAGCATTATTAAAAAAAAACCTGAATTGAATTAAAATAACTTTTACGTAATTACAAGCTCTTCTATTAACTGTTTATTTATTAAAATACATTAAAATTTATATGATTAGTACGAATGTTTTGGTCAGTTGCTATTTATCATTAAGCTGCAATGAATTCGAGCTCGTTATTCAAATATGCGTGCTTGCAACATGAACGTTTGTGTTTACCTTACCTGCACTTCAAAAATCACCACTGCATCCAACAATCTCGGTTAATAAAAAAAATTATTATATGTCGTATTTCACTTTTCAATCGCTAGGCGGATTAGTAGTACATTAACGTTTGAAGTTGTTTCGCAACTCGCAAGCGGTAGAACGATATGTGGCTAAGTATATAAGTTCGAATAATATGAAATACGAGCGGGAGCCACAGTAGACTATACCGGAGTGGGATACTACCCTATATGCTACTGAAAAATGCCTTCGTGGAAATTACTTGGTCCGTGATCATCATTTGCTCAATGCAGAGAGCCTGCAAGTTCGATATTAATCACGAGGAAATGTTAAGTTAATCCAATGATGGCATGGTGACCCATATGATTGTCTTCGAAGTTTAAGTTTCAAAGTCTTGGAAACAATGGTCCTACAAGTCAAGAAATAACGAAGACTCCGAATAATGAATTGTGTCCGAAGCCTCTCAGCGATCAAGAAGGCCCGTCCAGCTTCAGTGATCGGACGGAGTTGTAGTGGCGACTGCGACACCTTTTGTCGTTCGACTGCGTGTTTTTATAGCCAATTTAATTAGCATGCAATTGAAAAATTTTATTTCTTTCAGGTGCTCCACCTCTTGTACCACCCAGAGTATCACCTGGAATCGTGAGTTTTTCCAAACTGGTCCTGTATAAGTTTCATGTAAAAATTGTCTTGAAAATAAGTTCAATTTTCCTTTTCAATAGACAACAACGACAAGAAAGCTGGTCGGCCAAAAGAGTGAAGGCGAAGGTCCACGGTTGAACAATGACGAGCCAGGTTTTGTCGCTGATTTCTCGCAATTCGCTCCAAAAGCTGAGGACAATCATGCTTTGGAAAATAATGTTCCTCCTACGCAACAATTCACTGGTGTTTGCGGTGCATTCCATATTTATAAAAAGCCAAGTCAAAGTGAGTTATATCGCAGTTCTATTTCACACCCTCTTTCACCTCAAGTCTCAAAATTTTTCACTTTTTCAAATATTTTCAAGCTTAACGAAGGTTTATGTATGTGGTTGGTAAGTCTTCTAGTATTGAAAAAATTTGAGGTCTTGAATGTAGCCTTCACTTCTTCAAAATATTCGGCTGAATTTACTGCTGTGATGATTCTTTGTTATAGAAATTGTTGTTAATTATCTTTAATTGTTATGACTTAGTTTGTTATTACATTATTTCCGAGAAGCCGAAATTTTATTTTATATAAATGCACCTACATAGAATTAAGAGATCACAAAGGACTTGCCACTTTTCAATCTGAATGGAAAATTAATTTTTATTAAGGCATGATTTAATAATGTTTCATTTTTATTCTGGTAAATATTTTTAAAAACTATAATTGTTCAACCTTCGATACCCAGTTCAATCTGACTGTTTATATCAAAGGAAATAATTTTTACAAAACTATTCTGGCGTATCCTAGCGTTAAAAGATTAGAAAATGTTTAAAATTTAATTCAACTAATATTCTTTCTCCGTTTAAATAATAAAATTACCAAACAATTATTAAATTTTCTTAGGAAGAGAAAGCGGGCAGGACGACACGAAGGACGAGCCAGACGATACAGGCAAGAAGTTGACACTTCAAGAGCTACGTGAGAAAAACGCCGAATTGCGACAAGTTTGCGAAGAATTAACACGTGAGTTAGCGGGCGCCTTGCAGGAGCGAATAAACCTGAGGGCAAAGCTACTACTTCTGGCATGATCCCATTCAATGTCATCTCTTGTTATCGAGTACTAGGTTTATAAGCAATGCGCTCGCTATTGCAGTTAATATTTTTTAATTATTGGAGGCCAAGACTTGAAACGTATTATTTGGAAAAGAAAGTTTTTCGTGGTTTCACAACATCGTCTGCTAAATTTTCTCTTTAGACAGATTTTTGTCTAAATATACTTATACTCAGTGTAAAATGTTTAATTACTAAACGTAAGGTATAAGAACTTTGTCGTTGGATTTGTTTTAATGAAAAGTGACATTTCGTGTTTAAGATTTTTGAGTAGGAAACATTTTTGAGAATCGTAAAAATGTTTTCAGTTGGAAGTGAATCAGTTAGTGTAATTTACGTTCTTTTGTAAGATGATTTTTTTGAATTGTACGTTTCAAGTTTGCTCGTACTATATTATATTATTGACCGTTTGTTCATTCTTTTTATTCATGAGAGCAAAAGAAAACTCGCGTACTCTTCGCACATTCTTCTATTCATCTCTGATCGTCAATTTATTAACACTCGGATACTAGTCGTCCTTGTATAATATTTATATCTCGTGTTAATACCTCTTATTATCACAACTTTCTCAGAAAAACAACTAAATAACAAAAAAAAAGTAATATCTTTTTAGGTCATCGACACTTACACGGATTATTTAATAGGTAATATATAAAATATACAACAGATTAATGAAAGTTCAAAATAATTTATCTAAAGGCACTAAGAGGTTGCACAAAGATGCATATCATACTTATGAGAAGATTTAAATCTACATTATTGTTTGTTAAAGTCACAGAGTCTTCAAAATATTGTTGTAAATTTATGATAAGAGTACAGTGGCGAAGTTCGGTTAAGAAGTATCTCTGAGTTGTAATTGCAGAAACTAAAAAAAATAAATAAGGTATCATATTTTCGTAACCATCGATACACAATCAAATTTAAAAAATGCCAAAAGTCAAAGTATTATTGTTGAAAAATTGACTACGGCTCATAACGAGAAAAATAAATAAACGTAAATGCGCAGGAATTAAGAGCATCAAAGTGTTAAGTTTAATTTTTATTTATAAATAAATAACTGAGTTCGACATTATGGCGTAGACGTCAATAATCACCAACGAGAACTTAAAAGGAAAACAAAGTAAAGTACCTGCCTTGTCGGCTGGTTATACCGACGTTGGATGGTTTATTGAACTACTGTATATTGCGGGGAGCAGAAAGATACGAACAAATAGTAAAGTTGCTAAAAAATAAAGAAACATGTGAGTTCTAAATTATACATATATATTAAAGTCTCTGTGCCATATACGATAATACGATATTTTATTATTATTCCATCTGTTAGAATCGTTCAAGTAATCAGACTGCAACACTCTCACTATGGAAACAAATCGCCTTTTTGTATTTATATAAGAATACAGTGTATATAACGTTGATGCCCAATTAAAAAAAGGATAAAATAAAAACTGATATTTCATTTAATCAGAATTCACTTTTCCCACAAACCAATAACATCCTAATACATGTTTCATCATGCAAATCACTAATGTTAATCTTCAAAAAAAAAAAATGTTTTCCTATGTTCATTACATAATTATTGATGCAGAACGATAGGGATAGAAAAGAAAAACAATAAACAGAGGTTTGACGATAACAACGTTTATTGAAGTTAACGTTAATGAAAAATAAATTGACGAGAAAGAAAATCACAAAAGGATTATATTCAAAAGAGGTCATTTTTTTCTCTTAAATAATATCGAATGTGTGTTCTTTAAACAATATTCAATAAATTGTTCGGACATAAATAAAGGCGTACGTTGTCACCATTTACACACTTTGGATACATTTTTTGTCTTAAAATAAGCGTCGCAACGAGAATTGAGGTTGATACGAGGGAGTTACTTTGAAATGAAGCGTATCATAATAAAATGTATGAATATTAGAATTTAAATCGCAAAAAGCGTGTAAAGTGAGCATTCTAGAGAGCCTGCCTCTAATTTCAAAATATAGTATTGATATAGTGCCACTCTCCTCATTTCCACAATTCGACGATATACTGCAACACAGCTACTTTGAATGTACTTTTACATTTAATTATTTAATTTTTTTATAACTTTTTTTTTTTTTTTGCATAAATTTCGAACGATTTCGACTTGCTCACTCCGTAGAGTAAATCAACAGTTGGCACCGCTGGAGGATGTGAGGGAAGAGCTCTGCATTATTGAATGATAGAGAAATTACAGCCAAGCTTCTCCCTTCCAACTATCGTTCGCAAATTCAGCTGCAAACAGACATCAAGGAAATTATTAATTTATGTTAATGATTAGTTCAATCAATTACAGAAAAGAAAGCTAATAGTCTAAAAATATTTTAGAATTTTTCCTTTTAATAATTTTTAAATTTAACTTTTTTAATTGAATTAATTTTGAAAGCAATACACTAAATAAAATTGTAATTTAGTGTAGATGAGGTGACTGACCCACAACAGTAATAAAAGTGCACTGATATGGGCTAATTATCCTATCAAAATTAATCTAGCACACTTTCAATAACTATCATCCTATGAATTAAATGACAAAGCAAAAATAAAAGTGTGCCATGTATTTTACTTAAACTATTATTTAACACGTGTCTAAACTCACCACTCCCCATCAAATCTGCTCGTACTCTTATTAACTTCTTAATCCTTGGACTGCATGTACTTGATGAGGTCAATGACACGGGATGAGTAGCCAAACTCGTTATCGTACCACGAGATAAGTTTGACGAACTGATCGCTCAATGGGATACCAGCAGCAGCGTCAAAAATGCTGGAACGGTTGTCGCCGATAAAATCAGACGAGACAACTTCGTCTTCGGTGTATCCAAGGATACCCTTGAGTGGACCCTCACTGGCTTCCTTGACCTTAGCCTTTATCGCGTCATAGGTCGTTGGCTTGCCGAGACGAACTGTCAAATCGACTACCGAAACATTAGCGACTGGCACACGGAAAGCCATACCGGTGAGTTTGCCATTCAACGATGGGATGACTTTGCCGACAGCTTTAGCTGCTCCAGTTGCCGCAGGAATAATGTTCTGAGCGGCACCACGACCGTCACGCCATAGCTGCAGAAAAAACAAGTTATTTTTATAGTGATTTTTATTTATTCGTCGCCGAGAAAGCATTATTATATATATACCTTGCCAGATGGTCCGTCAACCGTCTTCTGGGTGGCTGTAGTGGCATGAACCGTGGTCATAAGACCCTCAACAATTTCGAAGTTATCGTGAATGACCTTGGCGAGTGGGGCAAGGCAGTTGGTCGTGCAGGAAGCATTGGACACTACCTTGTGGCTTGGGTCGTAGGAGTCAAGATTGACACCGCAAACGTACATGGGTGCGTCAGCCGATGGAGCCGAGATGATGACTTTCTTGGCACCACCCTCCAAGTGAGCCTACAAATACGAGTACAGTGAAAAATTAATAAGTTATTTCAAAGAAAATGACTGACACTTAAAGATTGATAAACTTACGGAGGCTTTTTCGATGGTAGTGAAGACACCAGTGGATTCCACTACGTATTCAGCACCAGCCTTTGCCCATGGGATGGTTTTGGGGTCGCGTTCACTGAATACAGCGATTTTGTTGCCATTGACCACCAAGTAACCGTCCTCGGCTTTGACCTCACCCTTGAATTTACCGTGAGTTGAGTCATACTTGAACATGTAGACCATGTAGTCCAGACCGATGAATGGGTCATTAACAGCGACCACCTGTCAAAATTAAAAAAATGTATAAATTTTTCAGTTCTACTTCTGAGCACAATGTCATAACTCGCGATTTAGGATGATGTAAATCGTATTAGCGTTAATGAGGAAAAATGTTGAAAACGTAGTGATTACGTAGCGCGCTAGAAAATAAAAAACGTACGGTGGCTCCACGTTCGATGGAAGCTCTCAACACCAGACGACCAATACGGCCGAATCCGTTGATTCCAATTTTGCTCATGTTGATTGTTTGTTAGACCTGCAACACAGAAAGAGAATAGAAATGAGTATTTTTGGCCTTATGTTTATAGATAACGCGATAAGTGATGCAATAGCGACTATGACTAAGAGTGTATGACGTAAATAGTGTCTGCGGATGAAATCATATTTCGCTTTTTCTTTGATAATAAGATTTTTATACGTCGGCGAGAATATGTGTATCATTCATTCAACTTGGATTTATTTCTTGCTATTCATTCACGAAACCTATCTCAAAACAGACTTTATTTTTTGAGAGTGTAGACTATGGATAAAACAACACCAAAGTGTAGAAACGATAATGCTTATCATGACATACTCCAAAACAATAAACAAATGTTTAAATATAAACTTTAGTAGGCGAATTCTTTTAGCCTGCAGACATAAAAAAACTACTCTAATCATGATTTGCGCCATACCGTCGGATTTATTAGCATTAAAAACATGTATTTATGTTTTATTAACTCGACTTGCGATTACAAAGGGGCTCGACTGCTAGGTGTTTTGAGCTGAAAAATTGCTTGTTTTCTAATTTAGGACATCAACTGAGTTGAATAGAGATGAGGTGATTGACCCAAATCAATAACAAAAAAATAGTACTGATACGGACTAATTATCCTTTAGCGCTTTTTAAAAAGCTACCACTTTTTTATGCGAAATATTGCGCTTTATATAATTTAATTGTTAAGCATTTCAAATTAAATTAGTATTTTTAATATGAGCTATAAATGAGATCTTTTAAATTAATTGCGCCGACAGTTGACACAGATATATTCACACGATTATCTCTCGTCAATTTTGACCGCGCCAATCGCGCGACTGTTAAATTGACAAATTAAATAATCGTAAAAAGATGCTGCCCCTGAGCAAGATCAAAAGTAAGAGGTCAGCCAAGGTTAGAGGAGGGGTACGCACGCCTCTGCCCTTGACATTATTTTATTGCTTGCGCCTGTGTCAGCAGAAAAGTAAATGCGGTCAATAATCCGCGCGAGATCTTTGCGACATTTGTCTACGATCAGTAATAATTTATTTACGGATTTTGCAAAGCTTATTGCCTTCGGGAAGGAAAGATTATGAATTAATAATTTTTTTGTTTACTACGGGGTTGGGTTACTAGGTGCTCATACTACGTCGACACGATATGAGTTTCGGAGTATTATTTCCAAGACCGTAATTATTTATTTAGAATATTTCAGCTGAGAATGCTATCGCTATTTTACTAATTAAGCTGCTAGAACCACTGACGAAATTGACAAGTAACGCTGCCAACTATTAACATGAGTATATATACGACATGTACAATAACAAATCGTAATTATCATCTGACGTTTAGTCAAATACTTTTCTCGGGATTCGGGATTCGTGATTCTTTTCCTTTTTCCTGAAATGCAACCGAATCAAAAATAAGGGAGGAAATCGATACTCGCTATTTGGTATTTACACCAAGTATTGTCTATTGACATTGATATAGCATCCGTTTATGTAGCCGAGTGTTATAAATAATTCTAAGTGACGCTAGCCTAATACTTCTTTTTATCATTCGGTACGTTTATGCAATTCCATTATACTAACACGTCAGCTTGAAGAATTCATGCCAGATTGAATACGATTCATGTATGCGCGAGAAAAGCACCAAACCTTGGAAAAATATAACATTATTTTCTTTCATAATTTTACGTAAAACTATTGCGCAACGTTCGCAAAAATCGTCGAGCCTATTGAAAATCTAATAATCCTTTATAAAATGCGAACGATCTCGTTCAACGCATCTAACGTTAGTTTGAAAATCATGCAGGTGAAGTTAAGTTGCTCCGGAATTCGTAGTTGAACTTGAAAATCCCCGGCGATATGACACCAGCTAAAGCAGTGCAAGGAGAGACGTCGGCCATGTTCTCTCACGGATCGATACTTATACGCCGTCTCTTTCTCATTCGTCGACACCCGCGTGGTGCATTATATAGATAATGCATCTAGCCGTTGCGATTACGTCACACATCTCGCCAAATCTATTTTTTTCACAAGTACACACACGTCTGTCACGGTCAAATCGTGGCCCTGTTGATCGTTCCAAATAAGTCACGGTTTTCTTTTGCTCAATCCTAACCTATACCGAAGTAAGAGAAAAAAGAAAGAGCCGGTTTTCACCAATTTCCGTTATATCCTGATGTGGCGTATCTACATCATGCGCTGAAACTAAGCGATTTGAGATCAAGTCAAATACAGTGCTAAATGAAATGATATTCGTAGGAATAATTCCAGGACGCACAAGACCTCGAGATAATTATTTTTAGCCACATACCGGCACACTTCCGGTGCAATATTCTTCGAGAATATGTGAACTAATTATTGCCGGATGTAACTTACCGTAAAGAAAAAAGAATAAACTACAATGCTAAATATTAGTTAGCAGGGATCAGTGATGATGACAGAGAAGCGATTGTAAAACAATGAATTTTTATTGAGCTACTTACGAGAGACAATGTCGTAGAAGAACCGTTCACTGTGCTTACCACAGAAGCAGTGTCATTTGAAGGGCAAAAAGCGCCGATATAAGCGGCACAAGGCGGGGGTTGGCTGCGCGCGCATAGTCGTACGACCCGACGTCCGACGAAAATGAAACGCGTTAGTGTTAGTACGAGGCTCTAATTGTTGCGTCGTCGACGTATGATAGCGCTGCTCGTAATCAGTTTGATTTCGCGCTCAAATTATGAATACGCATTCTTTCGTTCACATTCGACGAGAGCTTATGAAGTGGAGCGACCATTTCCAAAGTTTTGTAATTGAGCTTTTGAAAATTTTAAATATAAGTAGCCACATTATAGTAAAGTCGAACGAGAAACTGTTACGTAAATTGTTTTTTTTTATATCTGCCGGTAATAGTCGGAAGAAGGTAAAATTGTTTAATTTTTCTCGAGTTCGTTTGTTTTTATTTCTGAAGTATTTATTGTCGTGCGCAAAAGATCAAGGACTCAATTAATATAGTTATCTAGTGGCGAGTACGTAAGATAGAAAAATAATTGCTTTCTTCTAATTTGCTTGATACTGAAACGTTGTATTTAACATGGCAGTGATCACTTGATCGTTCTTAATCACAATAGGCGTTCTAATCTCACAATAACGTATTTTCTAAAAATCCATTAGCCTTATCCGAAAACGAGCGAACGACGAACGAGCAAGTCGACGTAAAAGTGAAACGTCCAGACGAAATCGAAAGAGATGCCATTCGTGCGTTCAGGCACGTCTTCAGCGAGACGCGCATTTCATCACGCGCCAAGTATCCCGGCAGGTCACCGGCGCGAGCTGAGTCAATCAGGACACATACTTACACCTTATTACGTGCTTTATAATGACGCAAATATTGGGCTTCGTTCATTAAAATTATTTTGCTTTTTCAGGAGTAATGTAAGTAGTGAAAGTACACGTTGTAGTCCAACGATTTTTGTAGGTGAATATTTAGGAAACGAATGAGCGAAATAAAGAAAGGTTGATAAATAATTATCAATAGTTAGAAGGTAATTGCATATGGATAATTTTAGTTAAAATATACTCTCATAATCGATTATAATGGGACATAATCGTCTATCTAAAAATATTGGCACTATATAATCCCAAACGTAGTTTAAGGTTACATAAGATTAAATTAAACTTTACACATTTTAAATATTAATGTTGCAAAATACACTTTCATTGAGAAAATCATTAGGATTGTTAAAAATTTACTCTTATTGGAGGTTTTCAAAAATCAGTCTGTAGATTATGAACGAACTGTAAATCGTATTAGAAGGCAATGTATTTTACGAGTGAAAAGTTACAAAACGTATATTTTATTATAGATATTTGTAATTAAATTTCTAGCTGATGGCTTCCAGCAGCTTTTCGAGCTGTTGTGGATTTGGACCTTCAAATATGCAGCTAATGACATCTGTTGCTTTATTTCTTAAATTTCTACGTTTAATCCCTGTTAATAAACGCTGTGACAATGTGTTGCTATAATACGGAAAAGAAGATTTGATTTTTTGAATGTAGTTAAAAAGCTTTGATTTCAGAATCGAACCTTCGTTGTCTATGTGCCTTGTCATTTTTCTCTTATTAACAGCAATAAAAAATGTTAGGTCACTTACAGCAGCAAAATTATTTTTCTGTAGTATCTCGATCTTCACATTCGGTGAAGTATTTATGAAATTATTTGTACATTGAAGTTAGAGCGGATAACTTCAACGATTGGTGTTCTAAGTGGTTTCAAGCAGTTCTAGCATGTGCAATATATCTGGTTTTACTCTTTCAAGGTGAACTGATTTTGGTGCTACATCAAAGATTGTTAACGGTTCGTCAATTTTCCTTGGAAATTAGTGCTATGGACATATGCAATTATTATTAATAGCTAAATTTTATTATAAATAATTACATAAAAAATATATTTTCAGTGAAATATTCAATGGGTGGCTGCCATATTCTGCTCGAATGAACGGTCCTCGAAACACTGACAAACAATGTCACCGCGCGCGCTTTCATTCAGCTGAGACGACAAGGGTGTTTCCCTTTTCCGGCGCTGCGCTGAATGTCTGGGACTTTAATTGAATAAATTGATATAATTTTAGCTGAAAAGGCATACTTACAACAATACGCCATTGACGTGGCTAAGATCGATCTGCTCCATGCAATTCGTATAGCTTACCCTAACTATCTACAGACAGGGAAAGTTAGAAGAAATGTTTCCATTTCGAATTTGATTTTATAAACTATAATGAATTGACCCTAATTAACTATTCCGTATTGCAATAGAGCTTGCAAGCACAGCTTACAGCGCATCAAATTTAATGGTTTTATGCTTATATTATTGTCAGGTTTAATGGTACAAAAAAAATTCTGAAAATCTGCATTGTAAAACATTTAACAGCCTATTTGGCAATCAAAACGAGCCGAATGCCACGTTCGATGCTGATGTTGCCTTGTTCAAAGTAGCATTTTTGTTATTTCATCTCATTCCGCAAATGTTTTTCTCCATTTTTCAGTTAGTTACCATTCTGATGACTATTGACACACATAATAAAAAAGGTTACCAAACTCTGGTTTCCTATCTTCCGGTAGGTATTTCTTCTCCTCTCTTATAAGTCGACCTAATTTAATATTGCAAACAAAATTTCAACGATCAATTTTGCAAACAATTTTAAAAAGTTTTTAAAGTATGAAACACAATTACACTAGCAATACTAAATTTTTAACATAAGGAATAGCAACAAATTAGGTATTATAATAATGTACTATATTATAGTTATAATAACAATAACAATAACAACAATAATAATAATAATAATAATAATAATAATAATAATAATAATAATAATAATCGAGTAATAATAATAATTTATATCCAATACTGTGAAACTTAGTTTTTCCTTGGATTTGAAAAATTCAAAATGCCATTTGTGCAAAATATCGTATATTTGTTTTTCAATCACAGCTCTTTTTATGAACATTAATAATTTTAATATTAGATTTATTACAAACGATGGAGTAATAGCTAATTTTTATGAATAATATTAATAAATGATATTTTTAATTTCTATTGTGTTTTGAGTAATTTTTTGAAAATTTTTCGTTGAAAAAATTATTGCATCAAAGTTAGATAAATTCTGTGACAAATTTAGTAAATATTTTTCACAACTGGTAACCTTTAATATAAATCCTTCCCAACCGCAGAAGTCGTGCACATATTTGTCCTTAAATACATCGTTTAGAAACTTCTCAAATCTGCGATAATAAATAATTGCAATTTTCACAACATAGATCGCCAGCAAGCGAAAGATCTTACATGTGAACATATGCAAATTAAATGAAGTTTTAATAAAAAGAAAATTTTCCTAATTAAATAATCAAACTACTTATCTGGAAATTATATTTTTTTATGAATATCGAAAGACTGCGGTAACAAACAGGCTACAGAGTTTGTTCATCAGAATTTGTCAGTGAAAAATCGTGGAGTTCAAGCACACAACTTCTTGCATTCTTTGCAGTGCAATTGTGAATAATTGTAAGATACCACTGGATGTTCGAAACAGCAATAAACAATTTTGTCCGTAACACCTGTACACATATAAAATACAGCCAATTTTTTAAATTTCGATGAAATAAGATTTATTCATAAAATATTCCGCCATAGTAGCTGGAAGCGTTTCACTTATAATTTAAAATAACAGAATTAGACGAAGAAAGCAATGAAACGTCAAATGGCTTTTAAAAACATTTATTTATTATTAATACGTTTCTCTCAAGTTATATACATTTGTAATCTTTAATAAGTAAGTTGTAAATGCTTAGTCGTAAGTTAAGTAAATAAATGTTTACGTAGAACTAACTTTCAGGATAAAAAAAATCCACATGATTGTATATTTTTAAGCGACGTACAACAGAATGTAATAATTATAGTTCATTTATAGGGTATGCATTGGCACAGGCAAAGAACAGAAGCATTTTTTTTTCAAATAAGTTACGTTTAAAAATTCCATGACAACTTTACAAAAATTTTATATTTACAGTGGAAAGCGTTTGAGCTAACGCTACAATATTTTTTCTCCCTCTTGTATACACGTAAAAGTTAATCAACTTAGGTTGGTTGAAATCTTCAAAATAATCATCGAGGTCTTTAAGTTCATCCTTTCGATTCATAATGAATGAATGACCAGGTAATCCAGGCAATCACATTATTATTTATGGACACAGCTTTTCTTAAATATTCGAAACAATACCAAACGATACGTTTCCCACTATAACCGCTTCTTTAAAGTTAAAGAAAAAATGTACTTTTAATATATACGCTTAACTACAGGTTTATATTATAAAAGAAGTTGTGAACTCTGAATAAAAATATCTCGTTTCTTCAACACATCTTTCATATCAACAATCTGCCCAGGACTATATTTCCACGAAAAATTGAAAAATATTATACAAATACTTGGAAAATTATTACGTTTTCTATGTATTTATCTTATCTGATAGAATGTATTAAGTTAACTAAAATACAAAGGTATTCTGCAAACATGGCGATCAGTGATAACTGCAGTAAAGCAAAAAAATATTTACGCGCTGTTCTCTCATCTTCGACGAAAGAATTGCAAGAGAACCGACGATAAATAAGATAAAAATATACTGAACTTTGCAACGATTAAAAAATAATTTGTTCGTTAATCATTTGCTATTATTAATTCATTTGTAAAAAAATCTTTAAAAGGAATGCACAATTTTATTCTAGAATTCGGAGATGCTAAAAAACCTCACGGAAAATAATTATTTCTACTTGAATTTGACGATTCGTGTTTTTAAAAAATAGCTCTTTCCACTATATTTAATACTATGTATTAAACTACGGCGTTCAAATTTCAAACAATTAATAACAATTACTAAAAATTCAATAGCGCAAAATAATCATTTTCCGTAAGAATATCATTAACAATAAAAGATACTTTGCAAAATACATTTTCTGTTCAAACATTACCCACCATCGACATTAATCAATAATTTTTCGAAATAATAGTTTATCGCTGCCAACGATCTAAACACGAAAATCTATTTTATCAAAGTAAGCTCATTTACCTCTTCAAGATTGTACAAGAGAATGAAAATATTACCCCTGACCCGCGGCGGAAACATTGCACCGAGCGACACTGGAATGAATCATACGTATAATTTACTAAAAAAACAATTTGAGCGAATTACTACATTAGTGATTCAACCAAATGCCTTTATCATAATTCTTTTTTCCACAAAATTTCAAACTCCCTTGGCATTTGATATCACTCGATCAATTGATAAAAGCTCGAAACAATCAATGGAAATTAAACGCTCTCGGGCACAATTTTGTCGTAGTGAAAGGTGCTGCTGGAATAAAAGCTGCTGCGTTTAGGCATATGTGGAGTGGCAAGTTCTTCTTGCAGTGGCTTGTATACGAGTCCACAGTTCTTATTGTCAATGAGACCAGGTCGCAGGATCATTGGAGTGCGAATGACAGGACCACGACCACGTCGTCTGGCTAAGCAAATGGCAAAGTGAGCGGCGAGGAGGAGGACTGCCAAAGTTACTAGAATGACAGTTATGACTGGCCATAAAGCATCGGTGTACCGCTCGCGGTAATGCAGATTTCCTATATTGGATTCTTCTTCGTATTCCTGATCTTGAGTGTTCCAGGCTGACTCGATTTCGTCTTTATTGCTGCTGTGCTCTTGACCGTAGTCAAGCTGTTCATCGAAATAAAGAGATTTATTATATTTTAACTGGTTACCGAAAAGTTGATTAGATATTTGAATGTGTTTCGATGACTATGAATAAAATCCCATTGTACAATAATAAATTTGACTTTAATTGATGAAAATATTTTTTAAGTGCACTGTATAGCACAATATTGGAGAAAATGATGAAATGTGAAAGAAAATGTGAGTTTATATGATACGTTTAATATGTTAATTAATTTTAATTATCGGTAATTGATTAACTATAAGCCAGATATCATTAGTCTTTGTTTTTCTTTAGAATCTATCATCATGAGTACGAAACATAATATTATAAAAGTCAATCGATTAACGACGCTCATGCAGTCTACCTTATGTTCGTTGACACTCACATCATCACTGAAATCAAACTTGATGAAAGGACCAGGTAATCCAGGCAATTCACCCTCGTTCGATTCTCGTCCAATAGCAGCAGCAATTTCTCCAGCTGACAACTTTTTCTTCGGTACTTTCTTGGGCACTGGTCTTGGTGGTGGACCACCTTCCCATGAGTCGCACAACTTCTTGCCAAGATCACTCCATTGACTAACTGGTTCACCGTCTAATGGCAAGTCGAAATCATCGCGGCTAGGGGGACGCATTGGTGTCACGCTATTGTCAGTCAACCATTGGATTGCTGCGCTCAAATCTTCGTCGCAACGAAGTGGATTGCGCGAGAGATCTAGACCCGAGAGATGTGGCATTGCGCGGAGCTCTTCAACTGTTACACGGGTCAACCGGTTTTTGTGTAGTGATAAGTACCTGTAAAAATACGAATACGAGGATCGTGATTTCTCGAAAGATGGTGGTGTTATTGTAACGTATTTTACACTGTAAGAGAGTCCTATCTAGTATAAGTGCATATACAAAGTTTCAAGTCAGTAAAATCATGAAAAAAATGAGTTTCGTGTGGTTATTATAGTACATTACGATACAAGTGCAGGAAAGTAGATTCTTGTCTCCTGTGGCGTTTACGCCCGAACGAAGCGAGGGTTGGGTTGGGTTGGGTTGGGTGGAAAGTTACATGAGACGAGAAACTCTTTGCCAAACATGTGCCGTGCTGTATTTTTTGATACGACGTGTGGAAAGTGCGATTTTCAACTCACGTTTTCGGTCGTCAATTCACGTTTGCGAGAAAGACGCACTTTACGCATGGAGTATCGAAAAACATTATATCCTACAGAAATGCAATCAAAGAAACTGAAATAAAGCTCAGGAAATATTATGGAGACTCTGCTCTATCGCATAATTTAAAAATGGTTTACTGAATTTTGTTGTGCCCGTAAGGGCACAAGTGATGCTGAGCATTCAGGCCGGCCACAAAGGGTGACTACTCAAGACATGATCGATAAAGTTCATAATATTGTACTCGTCGATCGTTGATTGAAAGTGCGTGAGATTACTGAGGCTCTTGTATCTTATTAGTTCAAGAAAGATTTAAGGAAGATGTATCAGTTTTACTTAAGACAAAACAATGAGCAATTTCAAATTAAATTAAAAATAATACTCACTTTAAGCTCTTGAAAGGCAGTCTAGCTTCGCTCCAGATACGTTGCATGTTGCAGCTGCTGATATCAAGACGCATGAGGTTGGGTGTCTTGAGGAAAGGTGTAACTCTCAAGCCCGTGACGAATGAGTTGACAGCTAGGTTCAATTTAGCAAGTGACGTAGCCCCTTTGAACATGTCATCATCGAGTCTGTCGAATTTATTACGGGATAGGTCGAGTTCGCGCAGAGATGATAACGAACGCATTAAATCCTTTGGCAATTGCGACAATTTATTTGCAGCAAGATTGAGTCTTGTCATTGCTGGCATAGCATCAAAGGTGCCTGATTCGATCATGTTCAAGCCACAGTCTTCGCATTCGAAGCGATAGATACTAGAAATAACGAGAAGGTTTTGTTAATTAGGTTGTTGATTAATAAACATTTTAATACGAATTTTAGAAAATTTTAGAATTAAATTTATTTAAAGTGATCAACATAAAACAAATTTTATATCTAAAATAAGTGTACCTGAATCTTTCAAATTCTTGAGCATTCGTCCTAAATACAGGCAAGGTCTCAAGGTTGGGATTCTGGCTGAGCAAAAGAACTTGAAGCCTAGAGTTGGCTCGGAAATGATGATCGCCAAGAGTAACCAAATTGTTATTACTGAGATCAAGATAAGTCATTTGATCGAGATCTGAGAATGCATGAGGATGAATGCGTTTTAAGGTATTGGAGTGCAAGTAGAGTTGCTCGAGATCAGGCACACCATTGAGATCGTCCTTAGCGATGTTTTTCAGACGATTCATCGATGCATCCAAGGTTGTCAATTTCAACGCTCTACAAATAACAAATATACATTAGTGTTCTATATTCAAGGTTACACGCCAAAAATGTTTTTTTTTTTTTGTGTTTGTATACCTGATGTTACTGAGTGTGGTGAGGCTGTTACCGGAGATGCGCAGCGACTGTAGATTCTTACCCTTGAACAAATCGACTGGTAGATCGGACAAAAGATTACGCGAGAGGTCGAGCTCGACAAGGGAGTCCAAGGGACTGAAGATGTCCCTTTCAATGTTATTCAGACGATTGTTGCGCAGGCTGATGTAGGCGAGATTTGTCATCTTGGTGAAGGCGCGTTTTGGTAGGCGCGTCAACTGGTTGCTCGAGAAATCTGTTTGCATAAAGAGACATGAATGAACTACTTTAATATACTTCCGTTTAGTTTGGCAAAAAATCTTTTTTTCATTTTTTCAGAACAGACTTCTCTACAAATCACAAAAATTATTACCTAGCCAACTTACTTCTTTTGTATCCCATGACAATGATAGCATGAACATTGAAATTAATCAGCAGATCAACATACTTTGTTATTTTTTCTTTTACAATATTTTTTATATCTCTATCTTTTACTTATGCAGCAGCGCGTCAACGCAAATAAAAAAGATAAAAGAACAAATACAGAACCAAAACCACATATATTTCTATAATGAAGCCATCAGGATCGTAAATAATAGAAATTTGTAAGTTACAAATGGCATTTTAATGATTGCAGCTCATTGTATTATTTCACTAGCTTGTAGATTAACTGCTTATCTTTTCACGTGCATGCAAGTTTAACTTTGATAATCGGCAGATTATTACAACTTTCTTGACTTTTTATCTAGAACTTACCGAGCTCAGTGACACTGGGAGCGTCCAGCAAGTAATCTCCACTATTTTTCCTATTAAATGTCAACTTCAATGGGTTACCAGCGACGGTTAACAGACTCAATTGTGAATTGTTTTGGAATGTATCAGGGTGAATGAATGTAAGCCCATTGTGGGTGAGATTGACGACAAAAAGTTCGCGAAGACCGTCAAAAGCTGTGCGATCGAGTTCGACGATCTTGGTGTCGACGATGCTGATAGATTCCAGTTGTCGAAGACCAAGTTTACGCAAAGCATGTGGACCAAGACGAATGTCACCGGCATTCTCGATCTTCAGATGCGCGATACCTGAGCCGAATCCTTGGTCTTCGAGCAGCTTGGTGCACCTGCACAAGAAAAAAGATATCCACAGTCTTTTTTGTATTCATACAATTTTGCTTTTTGACAATCAAGTCCAAATTATGAAACTCAATAATTATGTGAAACATAAGAAGGTGAAATTTATGATTTTATCAGTGTACAGCAAATAAACTAAAGGTATTCAACAGTTATTTTTTCGCTCTTGTTCCATGTGACGTCAATAAGACAGACGTAGTATTTTTATGTGACCATTAGATTCACTACAGAATAGTTATCAACAATCAAATACTTTTCGCGTAAAAGATACATCAGCAGATAACACATATAAAGGGGAAAACAACCGATAAGATAAAAGGCAACGTAGCGTAAGGTAAAAAAATCAAGTATTGGGCGTCGAAAGAATGCCTTTTTTCGTACCTAGCAGTAGTAGCAGCAGCGTACTGTCCAACACAGCGACAATAATCGGGACAACCAGAGACGACTTCTTCATCGTCGTTGATGACATCGTCGTCATCGTCGTCGTCATCGTCGTCATCGTCATCGTCGTCGTCATCGTCTTCCTCATCATCATCGTACTCATCATCGTCGTCATCAGCATCACCACCATCGACGTCCTCATTGTAAACTTCAGCTTTAAGTAATTCCGTCAAGGCTTTGGCGTCAGTGGTGTTGTAACTGCTGAATGCCGGTGCGAGGATGTTTGACGATTTGTGTAAGGAAAGTCGCAGTGGCATCGGTCGAGTTGTTTTCTTCGCTTGAGCCTTTATTACTTTCGCTAGTTCCTCTTGGAGCTGGAAACGGGCGATTTTATTTATGAGCAATATGTAGTTTCATATTCAATTTACAAAAGTTGTGAAATGTCTCGATTAATAGCGTATTTTCTTAAACTTCTTAAATTTCTTCATTGTTTTATGATATTATACGACTTTTATATTCTTTTCATAATTTATCATGCTTTGTTTCAATATATTATTATACTGCTCTTTTATTCCCATTTGTAAAAGTAATCGAGTGATTACCGACATTCCAATATTTTCCGACAGTATTTAATATGAAACATTTTCAATTATATCCAGCCAATGGAAGACGTCAGTTTAATAAACGTAATCAAGTCCTCGGACGATAAAATTACCATTGAGTGTTCGCCGCGCATGTATGCAGAAAGCAGACCATTCGCCCGAACCACTCGACATCCATTGACCGCTCGCATACGTGTGTGCGCATCAAAAATATTTTTTTAGACATAATAACATCCGAGATGACGGATAACGGTCCGTCACGCGGAACGGTTCCCGTCTGTTCCAGTTTGAAAGGAAACTTTGATTTCTTAGAATGTACGCGGTCACTTGACGCTTCTCAGCTATCTCGCGTGCCTTCTCTCGCAACGATCGATTGCGCCAATCGGAGAGCTAATTTTTGAAAGTGCAGCTGACCCTAGTAACTTCGTTTCTACTTTATGTGACGAGCAAACTGTACTCCCGGGTACGTACTTTTTCGTTATTCGAGTCCTCGTCCTCGGGGTGCATGTTCTCCACGAGAATGTCCTTGGAGTCGACGCTCCAGATCGACGACAACTCGGATTTGGTGGTGTAGACGTCGCGCGTGCTGCTCCTGGTGGTAGCGTCGGTGATCTTGGTTTGCGGGTCGGGCGTCGCTGTCGTGCTCATCGTCGGCACGCCGAGCGATCGGCTCACCGCCAACAGGACCAGCAGCCATGCTGCTGCTTGCCCCTTCATCCTCGCGATCCTCTGCTGCAACTGCAAGCACGGAATGCTGGTTGAACGGTCGGCGATCGTTAGTCTCCGAAATCTGTTTCCCGACACGAGACATCTCGCGATCGAAACGGCCGTGCTCGGTGATCGATCGAACTCGTCCGTCTGAGAGAAAAAGGATCGTTTGGAAACATCGAAAGTCACTCCAGGACGGAAGAAGCGCGCGCCAAGGAGCGCATTGAAATTCAGGGTATCGAGTAGCGCGGAGGTGGGGAAGGGGGAGGGGGGGGGGGGAGGCACAGGAAGTCGCGTCTCGTTCCGAACAAGCCCGAGAGTTTCACGTCTGTGCGTGTGCACGGCGGATAAAGGATAATGAGATCAATTAAAGCATCAGAGCACGAGCTTGCTGTCGATCATGCGACGTTTCTTTGGCTGCCGCCCTTGCCGGGGTTTCCTCTTTCCCGAACGACGAAAGTCCGGCTTCGCCGGCAATCGATCCTGTTGAGATTGCAGGCCTTCGGTGCCGAGCGCGCGCTTGGCGAAACGATTTCCGCGCACTCGTCGTCGAATAATCACGCTCGAAACGAAGCTTCGGAGCGCGCCCGAAGCGCAGCTGGCAACACAGCCTCGTCGTACCGCGCGCGATAAATCGCAACCCGGCCGAAAACCTCGTGTACTGGCGCGCGCGTGTACCGTTACGGAGAGACCCTCAATTACGTCCGCGGGAATAACGAACATCTCGCCGCTAAATCATTCTTCGGCGCGCGCGATGAGATATTACGCGCGCTCTCCATCGAGAGCTTATTTATTTCAGAAGCAGAGGAGTTAATGAACGGTCGCGTAGCGCAGCCTCGTCGCTGCGGTCGGACTCGATAGAGGCGATTATCCTCGGAGTTGGAGGGAGGCCCGTTCGAGCTGAACCGCCGGTCGCCGTGGGTGTATCGCTCGAAAAATTAACGCCGCTCGCGACGAAGAGGCAGCGAGACACAAACATATACACGCGTACAAGTCGCGAGATGCCGCTGCACGCCCGTCGCGCCGCTCATAGGCTGCCGAGCGACATGGATGCGCCTCGCTGCCTTTCAATTTTTATAAAAGGACACGGCATCGTCGCCGACGCAAATAGGCTTTGTTCGTTGTCGCCGTTGGGAGGGGGCATCGCTAGGATAGTCTCGTCTCGAGAGAACGCGCCTTTGCGAAACTCTTGCCGGACGGCGTTCGGGAATTGGTCTCGCCGAGCGTCGGAGCAGAAGTCGCGCGCCGGACGCGCGCATCTGAAATTCAAAGCACTGCCGCGTTTCCTTGGCTTCGCGCGCCGCCGAGTTGTTTTCTTTTGTGTTCTTGTTCTTTTTCCCGCTCCGTAGCTTTCCAGCGTATCTCTCCGCGCGCTTATCGCCACGCGCACTTCGCAGCTTCCGAGGACGGCGTTTTTTTTTTTTCTTCCTTCCTTTTTCTCGCTGGCTCCCTTTCGCGCGCGCGCATCGGTTTTAATTGCTTTGTTGATCTTTCGCGCTGATAAGACTAAAAAAGCAAGTCTCGCGGAGCGCGGTGGGGGAGTGGGGAAAGACGGAGTTGAGCTAGAAACCGGTTTTTACACTCGCGAGCTTTGCTGCTTCCTTTGGAGGCCCTTTGGAATTCCGGCTTGCATGGTTTTTTGTTCAATCGGATACTTTTCGGATAACGCGCTATTGACGAGTGCGCGCGCAGCGAGTTTCGATTATCTAACGCATTTCAATGATTCGGCATGGAAAATGCGAACGAGTTGCATAAATATTCAACGTTCCCTGGCGCAGTCGCGACGAATAAGATAAGAAAGCGCAAAAAACGAAATGAAAAAAAGAAAAAAAAAATAAATAAATAAATACGCAGTGTCGGAAGGGAAAAAAATTGTACACGCGAGGTTTGCACTTTCGCCAGGCGCAGCAGCCGCGGAAGAGTTCGTCGACCCTTCGCGGGTATAAGCTCGAAAATCCAACGGCGGTATATTCATGAGCGAGCGACGCCGCTGGCTGGTTTTGCAGACGCGAGGAATCGCGAGGCGTAGTGACATGTACTAATTGTACGTGCGCGTCTGTGGAGGCCCGATCCGCGAAAGAACGATAGGTAGAGCCGTAATTGCAAGATAAATGCGCCGCGTTCGGCACCAAGTCACTTCGTTAATTTAATGATTTAGCACGATTCGCGCTGACGCAAGGATCCAATGAGATGTTCAACGAGCACAATGACATCTTATCGCTCGAATATTAATCATTCTCTGGTCTTTTGTTGTCGATGCCGCGGCTCGAAGCGGAGTCGCGCGGAAGCCTTCGTTTCTCGAAAGACTGCACGAGATAAATGACCCCCCCCCCCGACAGGATACCGCGGGCCTCAAATTCGGGATTAGCCTCGCTCCTCGCTGTTTCGATAATTAACCGTGAAATCGTCGCGTATCGTTCACAGAATGCCTTGTCGATCGGCTCTCGAGTTATCGGAATTCTCATTGCATTGTCTACGATGTTTACGAATGGAAAAAGGTCGAGCGACGAACGAACCGTCGATCACACGCTGGTCAGTTTGCGGCGCAACGAGCAACCCAGAATTCCGATAGAATCTAATGCGAACGAAAATTGAAGAAAGCAACGAAACTTTTCCATCGGCACAATCTCCAACGAATCGAAATTAGCTGCGCGCGTCAACAGAAGAAGGTAACATCGCGCGTGCAGACGTGCTTCGCCTTTGCAACGCAAACACACGCGCACACGCACACGCGCGCGCGCGCGCACGCGGATGGTACAGGGGAAATTCGCCCGATGCATTCATCCTCTTTAAGCTTTCAGTGCGCGCGAGTTTGATATCCTCGCGGCTGCATTGTTATCGTTTGCCTTTTTCCGGCTTGTAAAGTCACGTATACCGTACGTTTTTTCTCCGACTCTCTTCGATCGAATCATCGTAGTCGCCGTTCTGCTCCCTTTTCCGGTTTAAAAGTCATGGAATGGAATGGTTAGATCGACCGAATGATTGTTTCTGGGTTGGGGAGACGAGCGTGACTTTTATTTTGGGGATTTGTTAAGCTAATGATGTGTATGCAGCTATCTACACTCGCGTTTGTTATACTGTCTGGCTCGGGAGGTTCTTTTCGAGTGCGTGCAGAGATCGAGGAATTCTGCTTTAAATTGACGTTCGACTTTCAACGTATAATCGTAATAAGATAGGAATGTTTTTAGTTGAGCGTCACGTTTCTGTATCGGAAAGTCAATAGTAAAGAAACGTCGAACGTTAACGAGCGCGTCGTGTATTAACTGTCGATTGTGGTTCGTGCTCACGGCAACTTTACCTGGCGCGACGAGTACGAAAAGACCATCCGACAAAGGCAGGAGGAGCGCGAGCCGATCGCCAAACCCAAACATCCGGCAAAAGGAGAGAAACGGAAAAGCGAACCGAGAAACAAGAGCAAGCGAAGGCAAGTTCCGCTCGCGCGGAAATCAATTCGAGGATACTCCCGAGCGAAGGACCATTTCTCGGACTATATGCGCCTGTGCGCAGACGTTGTTAGTGCTGATTTAAGAATCGAGGCCCGAGGTCGTCTCGGGCAAATCCAGTCTTCGTTATTGAAATGAGGAGCGCGAAATCGGTCGAACGTGGCAGGAAGGTATCGGTTTCCAAAAAAAGAGAGCAGCTACGGCGACCGCGGCCGAGTGACGAAAATCGCATTCGAGGCGAACGCGAGATCGGCCACTTTTTACCTCTTCGATTCACGCGTCGACGGTTCGCGCGTCTCGAAACCGTCCGACGCGATTAAGCGAAGCAAGTGGAAGAGCGGCGTCAAGTCGGATTAAGCGTTGAACGAAACGAGGGAGAGGAGGGACAGGGCATTGACGTATGAACAAAGAGCAAACGAAAAGCCACGGTGATTTAAAAAAAAAAAGGAAAGAAAAAACGAATCCAGATAATCGAATGAAATATGGCAATGCAATTATCGAATGCTCCCTCTTGCTTAAATCACACTCGTCTCGTCAAAATAATCGGCGCGATCTCGTTTAGTACCTCTCTATCATTACGGCGCGCCGGGCGCGCGTACAGCAAATTAAAAATCCGCGTTCTCTCGCGGTGCACGGAGCGCGGGGAGAAAAGTGAGCCGCTGCCGCTCGCCCGGAGGAGAAAAAGGCCGCGCCGAGCGGATTTCTCGCACAATGTCGGGGGAGAAGAAGAGGAGAGAGAAAGAAGAATGAGTGGACCAGCTGGCTTGCTTCTCTCTCTCTCTCTCTCTCTCTCTCTCTCTCTCTCTCTCTCTCTCTCTCTCTCTCTCTCTCTCTCTCTTTGTTCCGACCCGCGTTTGTAGGTAGAGCTAAGGTTACCTGCCAAGCAAAAGCTTTTGCTAAGCAGGTGGTCCCCCTTTGGGTTGTGTGTTGCTGTGTACACCCTAACTGCGTGTGTCGCGTACGGAACGACACAATACACGCACACACACGGACACGAGTGTGGGTTAAGTAGGTATCGATGCGTAAAGCGATGGATATATCTATATGTATAGCTTCTTTTCTCTTCGCGACCAGTCTTTCGTACGCGAGGGTACATGGAGTTTTTTCTTTCTGAGAGCGAGGCAGAATGTTGACTTTTGGAGTGGATTTAAGAAAATGTGAGGGACAGCTAGATTTGAAAAATGTTGAACTTTCAATTACGGTTCCCTGGAAATATTAGTCTCACTGGTTCAGAATTTTCTACGTCACGAGTGAAACTGTTCGTTTCGGCATTCGAATGAGTTGTAAAAATCGAATGGAAGTCTCGAAAGTTGAAGAAGCTGGAAAGGGAACCAAAAGACTTACGTCAAAGCTGATTTTCGTCAAAGTTTGTAGTCCCGAATTCCTTAAGTATTGGAGAGCAGCTAAAAGCTTACCATCGCAGAGATGAGCATGACCATGGGAAAAACACTACGCGCACGATTATATCTACCACGAAGAATGAATTTTCATCGGTCACCTTTTAAGGATACATTTTCTTCAAACAGCGGCGCCTCCTTTTTTTCTTTTGAGTTATGGCCAAAAAAAATGGGAGAGGATCTCTTGAAT